TAGATCCAAGAACAAAGGGATGGATGGGTAGAATACTTAGAGGAACTCTTGAATAAACCAGCTCCATTGAATCCACCGGACATCGAAACACCACACACAGACATTCCTATAGATGTCACCCCAACAAAAACAGAACGAATAGCGACGGTCATCAGACAAATCAACAGTGCGAAAGCAGTAGCACCTGACAATACATCAATCGAAGCACTGAGGCCACATATAGATCCAACTGCAAACATGTTCTACATTCTATTCAGGAAGATTTCAAAGGGAAAACAAGTAGCACCGACGGACTGGAAAGATGGATATCTCATCAAGATTCCAAAGAAGAGAGATCTGAGCAAATGGAAAAACTATGGAGGAATCACATTTCCTTCAGTACATGTGGAAGTTTTCAACAAAGCGTCACTGAACTAGATGACAGATTTAGTAGACGCCCAACTTCAATATCAGCAGACCGGTTTCTGTCAGAATCGGTCATGCACAGACCAAATAGAGACACTACGAATAATCGATAAACTACCGATTGAATGGAACTCGTCACTGTACATCAACATCATTGACTATGAGAAATCGTTTGACAGTGTGGATGGGAGGACTTCATGGAGATGTCTTCGACAATATGGTGTGAATAGCTGAGAAGGTTGTCACATCATACAGAATTTATTTGACGGACTACACTGCGAATTTGTACATGGATGACGGCCTCCAGATGTATTTCATTTATCAGCTAATGCTGCTTATTCTCTCCCTTCCTCTTTCTTCTGACAATGAACTGGATTATGAAGACCCCAACATCTGACGGATAGCACGGAATACAATGAACATCTTGAAATCAACTAAACGGAATACACCCATTAAGATATTAAATGTGAAAGATTAGTTCAGTGAAGAGTTCTCTTTTCGGCGAATTCATTTTCAAGGCTGTACAATCGCAATGTATACACTTATTTTTACAGGATGATAATAATATTGATAATAACGTTCTGTTAGTCATGTTGACAGTAATTTTAAATAATCAATGTTATGAAAAAAATTTTAAAACAAGGAAATTTCAATAGTCGTTTGATTGTTAATGGCATAAGTATTCATCAATAGATAGGGAAACGGATAGCTCAGTATGAATACTAATGCCATCAGCAATCAAAAGATTACTGAACTTCCCTTTTTTCAAGAGAATATTTTAAAAATAACTGTCTATTTAACCTCACTGTCAACATGCCCAACAGAACGTTCCAAAGCTCCCAATTTTGGGGAAAATTTGGCATATTTTGGGGAAATTCTGTGGAAATTTTGGGGAACCTTCCCCAACGTTTGATTATTTAAACTTACTGTCAACATGACTAACAGAACGTTATTATCAATATTATTATCATCCTGTAAAAATAAGTGTATACATTGCGATTGTACAGCCTTGAAAATGAATTCGCCGAAAAGAGAATTCTTCGCTGAACTAATCTTTCTCATGAAATCAACTAGACGATTTAGACTTCGCAGATGAAGACAACCAGAGTAGCATCAGCCTCTGCATAAGTAGGCCTTAATAGACACAATGGAAAAATTAAGATCTTGAAACGGAGAAGGACAACCCAATCACACTCTGGGAGAGGTGAAAACTTTCATGTAACTGACCAGTCAGCATTATCAATGAGCACGGAGGATCGGATGCAGACGGGAAGGAGAGGATTGGTATTTTATATGATATATTTACAGTTAGATTAACAGTCAGATTTGTATAAACTGAAGTGAGTCACCTTTAACAATAATAATAAAAATTAATAACTTATTATGTAAACACATATTTACAATATTATACAATTAAGCATATATGATCCTTCTTAAGATATGATGAGTGCATATCACACACGATTGGAATAAGATCAATTTTTCATGTCATTCGCTTTCCAATTGCTTAATCTGTTTCTCGACAAATCAATATGAAATGTGTTTTTCGCCACTCGCATGCATGAACACAAACATGTATAATACATATTTTACCATTCATTTTTGTCACTCATCTACAGTATGCTATGCGTCGACCATAGGCAATTACTCCGAGTTCGCACACCTAGGGTTTAGAATTTGGTAAACAATTTTTCACTTACAAATTCGTTTAGTTTTCTTGCATGTTTAGTAAGTACTCTTGAAAACGTTCATTCCAGTCGAAAAGGACTCTGTGAGCACAACTGAAGTTATTGTACTTGTAATTTGTAATAGGAGCGGACTAAGAATGTATAAAGCAGTTATTATGTAGTACAAATACCTCATACTGTTTCTTCCGTTTTTTTCGTAAACACTCATCCATGAAATAGTTTTGCATACTAGTTTATTGCATAAACTACTATAATATATACATATTTATATAATTTATATATTTTTCCATTAAAATAACACCAGGTTCTTCTGCGTATTACTTTCATACTTTCAGTTTTCGTAAAAAATCTGCATTTACATTAGTATTTCCTTCGGACACGTCAGGTAGAGAGGATTAGCTGTGTGAAAATTATTAAGCAAGACATGATATCTTAATAATTTACGTAAATATTTCTGTCATTTAAACTTCATCCTATTTGTACATTTATGATTGCTGCTTGCTAGTTAAATTATTTTTGTTGTGATCTGTAATGCTGATTTCCCTAGTTGCGATACACTTTAAAGTTGATTATCATTCACAAATACTTCATGCTTCTTTTGTTAGAGCTTGTTCTCTGTTGTGACTTTAAGTCCGACTAGTTATAACGTAATTTATTTGCCAATCGAAATACGACTTATTCACTCTTGTACAGTATCAAACCAATGACGTTCGACCGGTCTGATCAGCCTAGCGTCCTTATTGGTCTTCTGCTCGCCTAGAACGTCCAGCTGAGTTCGGAACGCCAATAACAGCTTCCGCTATGCGAATCATTTATTTCAGACATACTTGGTGTTTATATACCAAACAAACAAACCGCATAGTACCATAAAATACAAAATAAAGCCTAAAGTGGCTGTGAACGTGGGATCCAGTAATTAAAAAGCTGAGTATAATTTAGGAACAGTAAATTGTATAATAATAAAGTATCGGTCAAAATGAAGCTTATAATAAGATGAATATGAATATACACAACCTAGTTACTGAATAATCATATAACAAGAATATATAGGTAATATTAGTCCACTAATAGTTCTTAGAAGTTACTCGTAATTTCATCTTCACTAGAATATAACATTCTCGACTTCATTATTTTTAATCTACTATGTCTACTAATAAACCGGTTATACATATTTTTTGCGTTGACATCTCAATATTTCTCCGTACGATATAATCTAAGAAAATTTGTGTATATATCATGTTTAAAGATAATATTTCATCATTGTAAATTTATTGATTAAGTGGTCTTGGTAAACATGTAAACACACAGTGAGCGTAAGTAACATTTATATAACTGTTCGTCGTTTATCCCAATATTATTATTATTATTATTATTAATGGCTTTATTCAATATTATATTTTGGTACAATATAGAATTCTCAACACAGGGTATTTCAACAGGTTACTTACGCAAAAAAAAACAGTGACAAAGATAAAACAATGTTTAAATAAAGCGAGAACAAATATTGATGCAGAATAGTATGAATTCATAATATTACGAGGTTTCTCGTCAGCTGCTTACAACCAAAAATGTGATAGAATTTTTACATTGAGATACTGTGAAACACTTGACATAAATGAGTGTAAATAACTGGATTACAATAATAACTATATATATATATATATAAAAGGAATTAATTCGGGGTGGGTGGTGTAATAGTTTAGTGAAGTTCATTAATTTTGTGAGAATTTTAGGGATTAATGGAATTGAATAATGATAAGATGAGTTACGTAATAATAATGAAATAGAATTTGAAGAGTTAACATAATTTAAGAGGATCAGGTGGTGGAAATGTGTGAATAAAAAATTGGTTTAGGAATCAGGTAATAGGGGAGGAGTATAACACAAAATAAATATTTTAAAATGAATAAATGAATAAAATAACCCATATATATATATATATATATATATATATATATATATATATATATATATATATATATATATATATATATATATATATATAGTTATTATTGTAATCCAGTTATTTACACTCATTTATGTCAAGTGTTTCACACTATCTCAATTTAAAAATTCTATTGCATATTTGGTTGTAAGCAGCTGACGAGAAACCTCGAAATAATATGAATTCATACTATTCTGCATCAATACTTGTTCTTGCTTTATCTAAATTCATTAAGGGAACTAATTGCATGAAATTTACAAAAAAACGTTCAAAAAAAACCCTGAAAAACTGCACAACTTTTCAAATTAAAGACATGTTAAGAATGCAGGTTATTGACTATGTTAACTCCAACAACCTGTTCGTCACAGAGTATATTTGCTAGGTATGGTATTATAGAACTTTTATACTTTTCCTTGTCTGCATGGATTTTAATGTAATTACATCTCGTTCTACCAGAGGACATACAAGGAGAAAGATAAGAGTGAAGGGGATGGTTAGTATCTGCCAAAATACTTCTGAACTGTTGTCATGTATGATATAGTTTTTCTGCTTGTTATTTATTTATCTACTGTGTAATCCACTAAAATTCTCTAACACGAATTCTGTATAAAACCCCAAATTTCAAGTATCTAAGCCGTACGAAAATTTTATAGGCTTGAAAATTATTCTAAATTTCCTGTTAAGTATATGGAATGACAGTTAATATATGGCTTGTGGGATGAATGGCTGCTCTAATTTTATATTTCAAATATTTCATTATTAGGTTTTTTATAATAAACCCACAAACTATACAATCCTGCTGGTCTCGAATATCTGAATTCTTTAGTCATAGTAGTTGTGTTTCGTTTAAGTACTATTCCTTTTTACAAAATTTAATTCTTTTCAAGTAAAACAGAGATGTGATTTTTTTTTTAAAAGAAATAATATAATAGCTTCCCATTGCCAATATAAAATCATGAATGTTTAAATGTTGCAATAAATTTATTTAAAAATAATTATAGAAATATAAATATAACAGTTGGTAAAAGCAAATAAAATGTTACCTGAGAAATGTATGTTTATTCTTTTCATAAACAATTAGAACATAAAGAAATCTGGTTAGGAAGAGCATCACGACAAGGACAAAAACGAGAAAATACATCAGATCCATTAAGAGTCCCTGAGGCAGTACAGTCAAACCATTCATGATTAGCTTGAAAAACACATGAACTTGTTGCATCGTCCCAATATGGTGCCATTGGACTAGTTGTGTAAGTAATATTAGGACAAGAAACACCGAGATGTTGAAGGTTTAGTCGATGATTAACACTTGGAAAATGTTCTGGGGAACAGCGAAATGTATAAAGATAAGACAAGTTTTGCGGAGGCGTAGCGTGAATAGAACGATAGTAGAGGTAGCCATTCTGTATTTGGGGATGTTGTGTTTTGTTGCGAATGGAGTAAGCAGAAATATCGGGAGGCAGTAATAAAGTATGTTCTGAAGTTCCCAGATTCATACACACATCTGCACAAGATTTACCACGAGATCCCAAAACTATCTTTAAACTTGATGCTGGAGGCCATGAAACGGTAGTGCTAGGGACATCTAGGTAGTTAAATTTAGGAGGCGTATCAGCTTTTGCTATCGGCAATGGAGACTGGATCAAATTTTTGTAAAAAGGTGCAGCGCAGATATTTTGTCGTGTCAAATAAGCATTAAGACGTTCGAGAAAACCCCATGGAGTAAATTCGTGCGGACGATAACTTCCACTCTGAAAATCGATAAACAGTTAGTAATTAAATATTCAAAGGGAATGAATAACTCAATTGTTTGAATATACAGACGCAATGTCTCCAAAATGAAAGGTTCAGTGTTATATGATTACCTATTCTCAAGTATTACAATCTCATCTATGTTTAAATGTTTCTTTAGTCTTTTTCTATTAGTATTTTACTACTGTGATATCACATAACTATGATTGTTTAGTTTTTAACAATTTGAAATCCCTGTTAACTGTTTGATTACTTAAAGTTACTAATAATTCACTTTCTAGAATAATATTAATTGTAAATCTGTAAACATTCAAATAAACACTAATAAAATCTCACTTTAATAGTTGTCAGAATACGTTTAGCAGTTTGACGTATCTGTGTTTCATTACCCATATCAATTAAATAAGAATAAGGTTCACTGATATGATTTTCAATATACGGATGTTGACTAGTAAGCTAAAGAAGTTTAAAACAAAACAAAAAAACAGTAAAATATTAAATGATATTCAATTAAATTTACTACTTACCAAGAGAATAACATGAATGTAGTAAATAATTTATTATTGAAAAAGTAAATTGTAATTTTAAATGTTTATAATAGATTTTAAATAATAAATAATAATACAAAAAGTAGAAAGATACGATTATATCTTTATCAGAAGGAGTTTTGTGGAGATTTTAGGAATTTCACTGATTGAAAAGCTGGAGTTCTAGTGAGAAGCCGTTACCGGTGAAGTTCATGCAGGTCTGTTGTGAGATATCAACTCACTGAAGACAATGGTGTACGGTGGCGCAACTTCGTGGATTGGTTGAAGTTAGACATTAACACCATGGGATGCCGTTTCAGTGGTCTAGTTGGTTAAGCGCCTGGCGCGAGACTGATAGGTCCTGGGTTCGAATCTCGCGCGGGATATGGGACCATGGATGCGCACTGCTGAGGAGTCCCATGTTAGGATGAATCAGCCGTCCAGTGCTTCCAGGTTTTCCATGGTGGTCTAGCTTCAACTGACTCATGATTTCAATCAGTGATATTATATCTTTGTCTGTACATGTAGCTTCAAATTGCTATAATTGAATTTGATGATGATTGTTATGAAAATGTCATAAACAAAACAAAAAAGGGTTGTAATTCATAGTACACATTATTAATCAATTCGAAGTATTAATATAAGAGAGAGAATTCCAAACTAATTTTAAGTTAATAATCTTAAAGAATAAAATTTATAAATTTAAGTGATTAATTTAATCTTCTCAAACATTCGTTGTTAATACTCAATATTTGAATAAGTGATTTACTTTCATGAAAGTGTATAAGAAGAATTTATTCTGCAATAGGATAGTCGATTAAATACCATTTCAGAACAAGAACAGATATTTAGTTTTTGAATAGCCTAATATTTGGACGCCAATTAGATTGGATGATATTGTCGATGAGCTTATCACTTTTGTGGCATTGAATCTGACTAATTAAACAGTATGTTGATCTATATATATATATATATATATATATATCGCCAATCCTAGTGTATAATTATCAACTTGGATCTCATTTATGAATAATTGAATTAAATCAGTCAATTACGAGAATAAAGTTTTGAGTACGTATATTTTGTACACTCATTTATCTAGACAGACAATCAGAGAAACTAAGCGAATAGAAGTGAGCGAAGCGAAATAAAATGATGCTCGGCGGGAAAAGCATATCAATCAACTCGATTTAATTAAGCATGAATCGATATTTATAGTCACGTACACAAAGAAACAATAAGTTACAGTCAATGTAATGAGTAAAATTTAAAAACAAAATACACACATATACCCTCATATAAATACAAAGTTGATAAGTAAATAATTAACAAGGTCAAAATGTGACTCAACTAAAATGAATAGATTGAAAACTAGAATAACTTATATGAGCTACAAGTTTACTATACTTGATATAGAGAAAAATTTGACATTTTCATAATGAATCTATTCAATGAATTATTGAAATTATTAAAAATGTTAATCAAATACCATGATAGACTTTATAGTATGATTATCATTAGGTTCTGTTTATTAAATTTGGTCAGTAAATAATGTAAAATTCTTTAAGAATTATGATTATTGTTTTCTCTTCTTTTTTCATTTGTCTAACAAAGAGAATCTACATTATTGTATTCAAATATAGAAACTTGACAATTCAATAATTAGATATCATATTCTCTACTTTAAGTTAAAAAGAAAATTCATATTTCGTATAATTAAGGTGAACTAAGTTCAATCCTAAGTTTAATCCTTTTTGGAGCAGGTGTTCTTCCGGAACAGGAGTCAAACAACCAAATAGCATTCTTGGATATATTGATCACTAGAACCGATACAGGAAAACTGGAAACTCAAGTATATAGGAAACCGACCCATACAGATCAAATCCTCAGTTACAACAGCAACAACCCAAGAGCTCACAAAATCAACTGCGTACACACATTGTTCAAGAGGGCGAGGACACACTGCAACACACTGGCAGCACGAAAAAATGAAGAGAAATACCTGAGGGACATATTTCAAAAGAACGGCTACCCAATCAACTTCATCGAAAAGCACCAACGGCACACAGCATCAGAACCCAAATCAAGCACAAAAATCAACAAAAGGATCACCCTACCGTACATACAAGGAATATCAGAAACCACAACGAGACTGCTGAAAACCTTCGGAATAGGTGTGGCACACAAACCAACAAAATCATTACAACCAATCCTATGCAAACCAAAAGATGAAATAACAAACGAAAACAAATCAAACATCATCTACAAAATAAATTGTACCAACTGCGACAAACACTACATCGGACAAAGCGGACGCCCCCTCCACCTACGCCTACATGAACATCAATTAGCAGTCAAACGCCATGATATCTCTTCACTTATATCAATACACGTGGACAACTGCGGACACTCATTCGATTGGAAAAATGTGGAAATCTTAGACAGAGGAAACTCCAAAAACACCAGAGAATTTTTAGAAGCCTGGCACTCAGGTCAATCAGCAATCAACAAGCATATTGAAATCAATCCAATTTATCAACCAATCAGAAAAATCATGCATAAATATAGGAACAAAAATCAAACCAATGGGAGACACAACCAAAACAAAGAAGTAAACAATGATAAATTTAAGGTCAACAAGAACCAATCAACATCGAGGTGCACAGAACAAGCTGTGAAACACATATGGAGAAATTCGAACACTTCACTTCTATCTGAAGTTTGTGCTGATGATGTCGTTCAGAAGAACGATGAAAGCTCCACGACCAAACCATCCAGCTCAGAGAACAAAACACCACCAAAATCATCCGCCTGAGCTACAAATCTTCTCCACCATCTCAAGATTGACTAGAGTTTAAAAAGTATATCGAAGCAGCACCTACGGACCCCCCAGTCGATGTTAGCCCACCAACAATTGAAGAAATCAGCATGGCCATCAGACACATCAAGAGTGGCAAAGCAGCAGGACCGGACAACATCCCAGCAGAGGCACTAAAAGCAGACGTAGCGGCAACTGCAAGGATACTCCACATTCTCTTCAATAAGATTTGGGATGAGGAACAAGTACCAACAGACTGGAAAGAAGGACTTCTGATCGAAATACCGAAGAAAGGCGATCTCATCAACTGTGATAACTACAGGGGCAGCACTCCTCTCAATACCGGGAAAAGTCTTCAACAGGGTATTGTTAAACAGGATGAAGGACTCCGTAGACGCCCAACTTCGAGTCCAACAGGCAAGATTCCGTAAGGATAGATCGTGTACAGACCAAATCGCAACTCTACGGATTATTGCGGAACAATCAATTGAATGGAATTCATCACTCTACATCAACTTCATTGACTACGAAAAGGCATTTGATAGCGTGGACAGAACAACACTATGGAAGCTTCTTCGACACTATGGCGTGCCTCAGAAGATGTTGAGGACGATAGATCCCCAAAACTCATATTTTTAAATTTCATCTTATCGATTAAATTATCGATTAAATGTTTAAATATTTGAATGGCAGTCAATTGATGAACTTATCGATTAAATGATTAAATAGCAGTCAATTGACGAACTTATCGATCAAATATTTGAATGGCTGTCGATTGATGAACTTACTGATTAATGTTTAAAAACATTTCACTGTGACAATATCGATTGTAAATATTTGTATAAATACTCTTGATTTGTATGCCTGATTGACTTGACCTGATATCTGCTGATTGCCTGTAGAATACACTTCTACGTCTTATCAAGACTTATTGATCGAGTTAGCTGATTTGGGGACAACGGACCAGAATAGCCTATCGAGTCTCTGAATCCTGATCCTTCGTTTCGTTCCGAATAAGCCGAATCAGGAGTATGATTCAAGTTTAACGAACCTGATAGAAGATAGTCAATATCATACAGAATTCCTATGATAGATTAAACTGCAAAATCGTGCATGGAGGACAACTGACAGACTCGTTCGAAGTAAGGACCGGTGTTAGGCAAGGTTACTTACTCTCACCCTTTCTCTTTCTCCTGGTGATCGACTGGATCATGAAGACGTCAACATCTGAAGGGAAACGCGGGATACAATAGACATCTCGGATGCAGTTGGACAGTCTAGACTTCGCAGATGATCTGGCCCTTCTATCGCACACGCAACAGTAAATGCAGGAGAAGAAGACCAGTGGAGCAGCAGCCTCAGTAGCGGTAGCTCTCAACATACACAAAGGGAAAATCAAGATTCTCCGATACAACACAGCATGCACCAATCCAATCACAATTGACGGAGAAGATTTGGAAGATGTAAAAACCCTGACATATCTGGGCAGCATCATTGGTGATCAGGGTGGATCTGATGCAGATGTGAAAGCGAGGATCGGCAAAGCAAGAGCATCGTATTTACAACTGAAGAACATCTGGAACTCAAAGCAACCGTCAACCAACACCAAGGTCAGGATTTTCAATACAAATATCAACACAGTTCTACTGTATGGGGCGGAAATCTGGAGAACTACGAAAGCCATCATCCGGGAAATACAGGTGTTTATTAACAATTGTCTACGCAAAATACTTAGGATCCGTTGGTCAGACACTATTAGTAACAACCTACTGTGGGAGATAACTAACCAGATCACAGCGGAGGAAGAAATTAGGAAGAAGCGCTGGAAGTGGACAGGACACACATTGAGGAAAGCACCCAACTCCGTCACAAGACAAGCCCTCACATGTAATCCTCAAGGTCAAAGGAGTAGAAGATGAAGACCAAAGAACACATTACGCCGGGAAATGGAGATATACATGAGAAAAATGAACAAGAATTGGATAGGACTAGAAAGGAAGGCCCAGGACAGAGTGGTTTGGAGAATGCTGGTTGTTGGCCTATGCTCCATTGGGAGTAACAGGCGTAAGTAAGTAAGTAGGTAAGTAAGTAAGTAAGTAAATAAGTAAGTAAGTAAATAAGTAAGTAAGTTAGTAAGTAAGTAATTCGGTACTTTAATTCCATAGGAATAGAAAATAAATTGATTCGAAATTGTCATTGGCTTGTATCAGTTTTGAATTTGTGAACATCAGTTTAGATTCCTGTTAAAGTGATGGTGTTTACTAATTATAGTTTATCTTTTGTTATAAAAGCAGAATTAGAACTAAATATATAAGCATTTCATGGTTGTATAGTTGATCATACAATCAAGACTCTGAATTAATTACTTGACTGACTACACCTCAATACATGATACTAGTAACAGGTTTCTGAAACCTGTTAGAAAAAAACAGACTGTTTTCTTACGAATGCCGGCGTTTTGAATAGAGAAAGTGAATAGTGTTAATTTAAGTCACTGAAGAAAGATCATTTCAAAGTATCAGTTCTATATTTTAACTAAATTCCTACATATGTGAACGGGTTTCCTGAATCATCTTAATCAAAACTCGAAAAAAAACTGATCGATACCATTAGTGAATTAGATACTAGTTTTATATTGATGAAGTATTCGGAGATCTTTAGCAAACTGTATAGTTTGAAGACTGATAAAATCAGAGATCATGCATGTGGAAGTCAACTCTAGTTACACAGCCAACTTACCCTTTATGTATCTCTTTGTGACAATCCAATTATGAGTACTTATCGTATAATAATTGTGAATCTTAACCTTCTCCATTCCAATTTGTTCGGTTATTTTCATCTGCATTGCGCGTTGTTTGGTTTTGTATGCAATCGAAAACAGTACCTTGTAAAGTTTGAAGACTGCTCCACTGAATTATTCAAGCGAGTTTCGATAAGGATCGGGCCAGTGTTTAAACATACAAATTATTCCCTACTTTTAATAACACTGGAAGGTCAGTTTTAAGAGTATGATGATAAGCACAAATATTAATACCGTCTAAACACACACTACTGAACCTAAGAAGTACTCAGTTCGTATCGCTGCATATGAACAATTGCTTGGATATGGTAAAGGTTTAATACGACGAGTTATCGAATATCTACAGTTTAGAAGGGCTAATCAAGAAGTCGAAGTAAGCTTGCTGAAACGACGTATTGCGGAATTATTAAAAATAAATGAGTGATGAGATTTTGAACCAGATTGGTATTATTTGTTCTAGCTCCCACTATCCTCAGATCTGTCTCATCTTTAGCGTCATCATCAGCACTTAAACAGTTACATGTACTAAAAATCAGAAAACAACGTACAACAACATGAGAAGTCATGTCAGCATTTAACATAAACAAAGTTGAACAATTCGCTTCGAATAAAGATTAAATGATTATCGGAAACAACGTTGTAAGACATTGCTGACACAAGGAAAATCAGTGAGGAAAGGAAAAATATAGATCATTACGGGTGAAAAGCGGAACCAAAATACTGAAATAATTGGATAAATGGATAGGACTAGTGTCTGACCATTGACCACAGACGAAACTACTGAATATTGCATCACGAACTGATCCTAGTTAAATATCTAGTGAGGTTAATTACGAAATTCAGAAAATATCAGTGAAGGCTCTAAAGCACAAAATTTTACTTACTGATATGGCATATCGTATTAAAAATTAGTGAGCTAAGAAGATGAAGCTTACCATGTCTCTGTTATATTTGGTTTCAGATACACCTTCCTAGTACATATAAACCTGTGCTTCTGAAAGTATATCACATAGATTCATTTCATCATAATCTATTATTACTGTTGTCCGGATAACATTTTCTCCCACTCATATGAACAAACAGTTTTACAACATGTCCACGATATGAATAATCAAAGTGATTCTGGAGACAACACTACAAATGTACACCAGCTGTAACTTTCCATGGAAAGGTAAGACAGTAGTTTAGTTAGTCGTCCGTAACATGATATACATAAAACGTTTGCTAGTATTTTATAAAAATAGTAGACTTTAAAAAAATTGCACTTACACCTCGCGAAGTGGGCTTATCAGAAAAAAAAGCTTGATTGCTTCTACCGTGAGGCGGATCAAAACGAGGATTAAGAAAAATAAGACCATTGGCGATTGCTTCTAAAGGCGCAGGACCTTCGTAAGGAAATCCCAATCCAATCAATATCTAGAATACATTTTAGAAAACATTCCACTAGTTAACATTACAGTGGTTTATGTTTTTACACAAACAAAAATAAATACACTCTCATTACAATTAATCAATTAAAACTCGTCTCTCAACAATTTCAAAGTAACAACTTAACTCTACACTTGAATTAACTTCAATCAAATAGATCTCCACTAATTAAAGATATCACACGAAAATGTATCATTATGATATCATAAAAATATAGTTCGTTCCACATGAAATCGGTCACGTTAAACTGTCAGATAATCATGTTTCACATAATTTTAGTTCACCCTTTATAGTCAAAAATAACTAAAGGAAGATGCAATTGAAAATGTGACATATTATACGTACAAACTATCAACTATGAATAACTAACGTCTTATGGAGGAGTACAACTTGACACAAACTTAGCGAAGAATACCATACACTTAATCACATCAATATCTGCTATTTTCATCCATTATAAATTTTAGGCTGTGATAAAGTAGACAACGCCTTCATCAAAACTCAATCAAGATTTGACTGGCAAAATTTAAATTAATGACCACAACAACATGCTGGGAGGCACACTCATAAATTACTTACATACTAATGAATCAATTATCAAGATAATTGTAAGGGAAATTTCAGGTCCTATATCTTCATTGATTATATAGGTTCCAGTAGTCAACGATAATGACCATTCTCTTTATCTCTGTGATTTTAGAATCCACAGTTGGTTTATAGATGAATATAGTCTGACATTTACGGATAGTTTGACTGTAAGACGAATACGGATTGCGACTGCACTGAGACATAACATATCGCAATGTTAGATTTGTGAAACTTTTGTCTCAAACTCAAGTAATTAACACGTATTTCCCGATCGTTCAATTTGAGGGCCGGTGTTATGGGAACAAAGAACAGAGTAAACTTTACCTAAGTTGGTCGAGAAGAGAGTATGAGGTCAAAATATAGCGCCTCTACTTCTGAGTCTTAGTAGTACATGGGACTGCATGTTTATTGACTAAAGTTTTCTGCAGCACAGAAATGGACGACTAAAGGAAACAGGTCGAGAGACATCGAATGAATAGTTGTGGTTTATGCAAATGTATAAAATCCTTGATTAACTAATGAAATTAGATTGTAAGGCCTCGCCCTATGTCGAGCACATCTAGGTTGTTCCAGCCTTTGGACAGGATTGATCAATATATTCATTGCTCTTAAACCACATTTTGACCTTGTCACTTATTCGCTTATCAACCTTTACTGTTTTTATGTAAGCGTATGAGACTTATTTTTGTGTGACTATAAATATCGATTCACGCATGGTCAAATGGTGTCGGTTTATTCGCCATCTCCATTGCGCATAATTTCGTTTTGCTTTCCGAACAGCAATTGTAAGAAATATACGGATTCAAAAATCCTTTCTCGTATTTGACTTATTTAATTCCATTATCCACCGACGCGATTTAGGTCAATGATTATACACAAGGATTAGCGGCACGTATATTTCAATAACAAGCACTAAACGACCCAATTAGTCAGATCTAGGGCCGCTAAAGGATACCAAATTAGTTAAAGTCTTGATCGAACATATATACTATGTTCTTTTCTGATGTCCTTCATAAACTTGATTGTAAACCAACAGATTTCGAAATCAAACTGTCTAACCGTGCAGTTTCATCCAAATGACCGATTAATATGTCTAACACTGATCTATCGTATGATGTTGGTTTCTGAATTTCATCAGCTAAATTTTATCGGCTTCTTTCCCCTTTTATTCACAACCTTGTGTTGCGTGTGTGAGACGGTTCACTAATTCGTTGGATCCATTATCATTATTTTGGTAAAGTTAATAGATAGTATTCATATTCAGAGAAATTATAGGTGACACTGAATAGATAACTGGAGAATTTAGAGAGGGGTAGAACCCTGGCAGTATAACTAAGATCAATTGTCGCTTGACTTAATTCTCTAGTGGCATAGTATTGTCACCAAAATCATCTTCACTCTGTTCATCAATCGAATTCCTATGAGATAGAATTAGTATGCGTCAAACACAAAGTTCGCTGCTAATATTTCATTGATATCTTGAGAAACAAACAATGCTAGTGACTATTTACGATGAAATGCCAGTTCGTCAGCTTTGTGGTCATTAGTACGTTAAACTCTATCATCATAATTCTGAACACTATTTAATGTTGCACATTTCTGAGTCAGATTATCAAATAGTTTCTTAATAAGTCCAGTTATAATACACTGAAAAAAACCCAACTTTTTTAACAGGACAATTCAATATGAATGCGATTGCATACAAACTTACTTGAGCTTTCGACATTAACTCTAAATATGGTTGACCATATTTCATTTGATGTATATGCAAAAATTTTGGCAACTTATCAACGTTATCCATCACATTTCCATGTAATTCAAAGTAATCAGATAAAATTCTCAAATAATTTGTTTTATTCTTAAGAGAAAAAATGATTTGATGATGTACACAAAAATGAGTAAATGAATGAGAGAAACAATGAATAACGATTAATGAATATAACAAATGTAATAGAGTCAAGTAAAACACAGTTGAACACTCATATTTTATTTGCAATGAAAAACAATGAACACAGATTTTGGTGGGTTATTTTACTACAAAACAACGCGCAAAATACAACTGATCTGTTGATAGTACAATGCTAATTATGTTAAGTATTTGAGTGTGAATGTTGAATAAGTAACTAAATCAGTAAGATTATTTTGATCAAATGATGATATAACAACAATAGTTACTTCACAATCTAGTGTTACTGGATTTTATCGAAATGGATAGATATATGAATTTAATTTTAGCCCAGAGTAGAGTTTGGGTATTTATGTTATTGAAGTTTTTTAAAATTTACACCTAGCTGAAATCAATTCTTAAAATAACTGATTGATAAGTCAGATGTAATACCCAAAGATATGGAAAAAATACACAAATTCTGGTAAGTTATCAACTTTATCCATCACATTTTCATGTAATTCAAAGTAATCAGACAGTTCTCAAATAATTTGTTTTGTCCTAAGAAATAAGATTCTCGAGTTAATTTGAAAAGACAGAAAACACGTATTGAAAATGAATAAATTGCAGGTAATTGAAACAACGTTTTTCACTTAAATCGAAGATTATGAAATATATGTATATTTTATCTCTTTTAAGTAGTAATGTCTACAATAGGCTATTTGCATTGATCTAATACGTGATATGTCACGATCTTTGACAGCTAATTGATGTATATGTGGATAAAGAAAAGGACCAGCGAGCTTAAACAATTTGGCGTCTCTCAATGTTGTAACGGTTTATTTTGAAGATTATATTAGGCCTTCGTTCCTTTATAATTAAATTCTTTGGTTTGCAAAGTTCCAGTTGAACAGACAGTGTTGGGCACTTAATACTGCCGACCTAACAGATGTAGTTGTAATTTCTCATGTTTTTTAAGTATAATAAAATGATATATCTATTAGATTTGATACTTGGTATTCTACTTGGTGATGGATTGAATAAAAAGGTTGCTATGACATTGGACACGTAGTCGTTTATCCGGAACACTGACATTAAGCATCTCCTGAGAAATATGTTTTTATTCAAGCATTTCTATTTATTTCTTCTTACAGTGGATGTGACTGCTTCTTCTTTAATGGTGCTTAAAACATTCGTGACCGTCCCATTAAATGTATTTATTGATTTGAAATGCATGAGGAGCTACCATTACTTTACTATCAAAAAAATAAGGCTACGTTATTTTCATTCGCCCTCAAATGAACAACTAATTACAATGGGAAATAGTGTGACTGATAATTAAAATTGCTGAGTCACGTATTGTAACTAGTGGAGCCATGTTATGATGGAGAGACAACAAGTAACTAAACTGACAAATAGGACTGAATTAAGCAATATTGACCTAAATACTGTCAATTATCTCTTATTACTTTGACTTTGAAGACTTTACAGAGATTAAATAAATCCAACGTATTACTCAGAATATAATTTACTATTTTGCTACTTTTATTTCATTCTCAGGGACCCAAAGGAATGAAATTGACTTATGAATAATGTACTGAGATGAAATAAACATTTAAAAATTGATTTCTCTGAAAATTTTGTACAGCCTGATATTTTGCAGCCCTTCATTAGACGTGACCTTTGGAAACAAAAACGTCATGTGTGAAGCAGTTGGGGATTAATGACATTGTAGTAGGGATCATATAACATAACAAACAGCCTGATGCTAAAAACATGGATCATGGAGTTTTAGCTCAGTGATTCACAGGTATCATGTTTTGTAACGAAAGCCTAATTAACTTGCTTTTATTATAAGCCAAGTCAGGGGTATACCATACGAGAAAAACAATTTTCTAGTGACTTCTGGTTTGCGATAGTTCACCAGATGATTTTAGATTATGGTAAGAATTACCTTTGCATTTTGCCAAATATATACAAAACTACTCACGTAGAGAGAAAAACAAATATTTTAAAGTAGACCCTGATAGCGTTGTTTTTGAAAGTAAATTCCAATATGTAAATGATCTCAACTTAACTAGCTGTTTACTGTGTAAACAATCAACGACTACGTGCAAATGTTCAAATAGTTACTTCTCTTTTCTGAGACAGAAATAATTATTGTCTTTTATTAGTATTACATCAAGAAAATGTCAGGGAATACATAATAGTGTTTTCATCAGGCCGAGAGATTATAAGTTTCTCGTCTATCATCTACTACTCTTTTTTGTATACCTATTATATCATCTTAAAAGTGTAATTTAAGAGTCAAATGTATTTCTAACAATGAAGCTAAAAATATTAACAAAGTAATGCCTACTGAAACTTGATATTTTGTAAAGGAAGAACTCGTTAAGCGTTTGAAAGTTTAATAAATTGAAACCTTTTACCAATATATTTTGAAACAACAATTAAAGAGAAAAGTTTACTTAAGGAAGAAATATTAGTAAAATGATAGGTTAATAACAATAACTTGTAAATTAGCAAATGATATGAAGATGAGTTTATGAAAATATTATATTATTAATATTACGAAATATCTTAAAATTAAAAATGTACATCATTCATTTTGATTGAATGACAGAAAACAATTATACCCTAAAGTAATTATTTATAGGACACAGTCACAAGTATTTTGTTCATCCTTTATGCAGTAAGTTCAGGAATTTGGAATCCAATAATTGTGTTGTTTAGTAATTATTATCAAAAAGTCAATAGTGTGAATCACTTATTTTGGCTGAATCTCATGAAAACTTTTATGCTGTAATTCATTAACTTGCAAGTTATCGTCATGAGATTTCAAATAAAAATTATTAATTAGGAAAAAGAGAACTCAGTGAAGAAAATTTTTTTTCTTTTCGACGAAACTATTTACTTAAGCTGCACATTCATATATATAGGTATATGGAAAATGTATGTCTATAGGAGGATAGAAAAAATTGTATCCCCAAAATGGATCCTCGAATCCATTTTCCATATACCTATATATACAAATGTACAGCTTAAGTAAATGGTTTCATCTAAAAGAAAATTTTCTTCGCTGAATTCTCTTTTTCTTATTCAATGACACTATGGGTTATTTTAAAAATTATTAAATATAGTCATCCGTTAAAAAGTTTCATACATGGGTAAGTGAAGATGTAATTATTTGTTACTTTCCTATATGAAACATTTATTCATATTTTGATTGTGTACCTTAATAGAAATAGATTACAATTGATTACAGTACAGTATATTTATTTCCTTTTTATTATCTTTCAAGTCTCGAAGTTAATATCACTTTATTTCTTTTGACTGGTTTCAAAACATACTGATAAATCTGAATAAATTTAACAATGCTACTGCCTATTTTAAAAGCAAATGATCTTAAATTATCCTTAAAAAGGAAAAATAATAATGCACTAAGAGAATTTTATTATCTGGCCAACCGCATAAATGAAATATGATTGCACAATTGAAAACCTACGTTCCACATGTATGACTGTTTTCCGTAGATAAGAGCAATAGGCTTAGACAATGATTGATTAGATTTAGATTTAAACGGGGATATTTCCGTAACAAAACCCAGAAATGTATTGTCCGGTGAATGAGCTGAAAATTAAAGAATGTAATAATCTGTAACAGTAAGAGAACAACAACAATATACATTATATGTATAGAAAAATGTTGCTTTGTCAAATAATATGAAGTTAGTTAAATGAAGAAATGTTATCACTAAACATTAATTTTTACGAGGAATAGTCTAGAATAAAGAAGGGAGAGGAGTTGTGTCATTTTTTGTCACTATCTGGCATGGATTGTGTACGTTCTTAAAGAACTGTATAGTCATCAAACTGGATCATAACAATATGCAATAACCACTATTTTGAATGATCCAAGTCTCAAAAACAGACGACCATTAATTTTAAAACAAAATATTTTATTTTTTCCTTAAGTGTTTAGTATTTTATAGGCTTTAATAATTGATTTCCAGTGTTTCTTTCTTCATCTGGCTTGATGAGTTCATAACCTCACTGGTACAAAGTTATTGCTAATTAATTCGATGTAATCGATGATGAAACAATTAAAAAACAGATCGTCAAAGTTTTAAAAACACCAAACACCCTTATTCTTATCTTTAGATGAGTATTTCACTAATTGTTTGCTCTATTGATTTCATTAATTAAATTATTTGTTAAGAATGAAATAAAAGTTAATTGGTTATAACAAATATGTATATTATTCGTTATTTCTTTTTATTTACATTAATATTTGAACCATAAATTGTACTGGTAATATGAAAAGAATCTCGAAAAGTGAAAACAAATAAAATGTTACTAAATCATGCTAAAATGTAACAGAATATGCAATTAATTTTTATGAGTACAATTACATCAATTGTTCAATATAGTAGATTTATTGCAGTTCAAATAATCTTATGGTTTTAGTCATCAATAAAAGAGAATTTAATGTTTAAAACCTATTCCACATTCAAATGTTATAATGGGAGTTTGAATGAATTCGTTAGTTCATTACACTGTAAAAACTTGATAACAGGGAAGTAAAGTATATGATACAACGAAATAGAAACCTCAATCATACAAAACTCATTTATTATCAGTGTACTGATATTTTCAGCTCATCAGACTTTCGTTGAACATATAATATTAATTAAATGTCAGTTTTTTTTTAATGAAGCCACGAACTCAATTAACTTAACAATGCTATCAGAGAATAATAACAGTACAGAATGTATTAAATATTGAAACTTTTGATTACTTTTACTACTCCCGATCGAAGCTGCTACCTTGACGCGGTGGTCGGGCTTCCCTATCGTGATGACCCAACCGAGCTATATTGGCTGGAACATATGTTCCTGCAGGTTCTACCATGCCAGGCAGGTCGATTGGCGAACGGTAAGACTAAAAGCAGCAACTCAAGGTCTGAGGGCGAAGTCGTACTGCTGACTGTAGAGAGGTGTGACAGCAGTAAGGTGTTTCCCTCGGACAACCAGCATGACAGCGATGCTGCCTTCCCACAAGGAGGGGTGGGGTTAGAAAAGGTCGACCCTAAAAATGCACACCTCACCTTACCTCACGGATTTCCGTCTCCGGCGGTAAGGCCCTTGAAGAACGGAGCTAACACGTCAAAAACCTTCCACAAAAAGGCCGTGCGCGACCGGCCTCAAGCAGTTGTCCCTTGGGCTCTGCGGTCACGCTCCCAGGTCGTCAAGTCCAACACTAATCCAATTTCCTTTTCAGGTTCCTCAAGAAATACCCTTCCACGGTGTGGGCAGCCGGGAAGTGACATCAGCCTTCATACCCGTAACAGCACAAGAGACCAAGGTGGTCACATTCAAATCCTTCCTACACCTCCTAATACCTCTCTTATCCTCCCGACTAACCCTCCTCACGTCTCTTTATCACCTCGCACCGCTAGGGCAAACGATTCGAGTACGTGGAACGCCATTCCTGGTCTCCTGAAACCACGCTCTAAACTACACGTAGGAGCTTTTAACGTACGAACACTGTGCCAAATAGGACAGCAGGCTTCCTTAGCTAAAACTTTAGAATCTCGCGCCATCGATGTGTGCTGCGTCTCCGAAACGCGCATACAGGATTCAAGTAGTGTCATTCATTTGACCTCACCATGCCAAAATAAAGAACCGACTCGATTTACGCTTCGTGTATCTGGAAGCCCTGATTCTGCTTCCCGTGGCCTCGCCGGCGTAGGTATAGCATTGAGTCCTAGGGCAGAACTAGCTCTCTTAGAGTGGATCCCAGTAAACAGTCGTTTGTGCGCTGTCCGACTGAACGGAACAGTAAGAATCCGGAAAGATAGGGACACTCGTCGTTGCCTCTTCGTCGTCTCTGCCTATTCTCCCACTGACTGCAGCTCAGATGATGTAAAAGATGAGTTTTACAGAAAGCTTTCGGACCTTCTCCGAAAAGCTAAGCGCTCGGATGTAGTAATAGTGGCCGGTGACTTTAATGCTCAAGTAGGTAAACTAAGCGATAGGGAAAGACACCTGGGTGGATCTTATGGTGTCGTGGCTCAAAGAACAGATAATGGCGACCGTCTGTTGCAGCTATGCTCAGATAACCGCCTGTTCCTTGCAAATACTAACTTTAAGCATAAGGAAAAACATCTTTTAACATGGCGACCTCCTAATTCGTCCCAACGTTGGACCCAAATAGATCACATCGCTATCAGCCACCGATGGAGGGGCTCGATAGAAGACTGTCGCTCATTCTGGAGCACATGCCTAGATTCAGATCATGCTCTAGTGCGGGCGCGTATTTGCTTGCGTCTTACTGGACGTAGGAAAGATCCTGCAAGGAAACCTCTTAGGGCCTACTTAATGATAGTCAAGCTAAGAATATATTTCAGGAACAACTAGGAAAACAGTTAGGCAGCCATGTATGTGATGCCCACCCCGAGGCAGCATGGAACGATATCCGAAAAGCTGTGGAAACAGCAGTGATATCTGCTAGTAAGGTAAACCGTAAAGTTAGGGAGCAACACTGGATCTCAGCAGCATCTATCGCACTGATAGATGCTCGAAAACTCATTCCACCTGGCTCTGAACATAATGAAGAGCGGAGTCAGCTTAAGCGCAAGCTGACAAGAAGTCTACGCAATGATCGCGAACAGTGGTGGGTAGCGAAAGCAAGAGAGATGGAAAAGGCAGCGGCAATAGGTAATAGCAGACAATTGTTTAGACTCGTTAAGGAAACCGGAATTAGGAACCCGACCGTTAGCGAAACAATCTCAGAGAAAGATGGACATATTATTCATTCTCAATCCAGGAGATTGGATCGATGGGCAGAACACTTTAGGGATCAGTTCAACTGGCCTTCAGCCACACTTCGGTTTCCCACGATCTCCAGTCAACCTGAATGGCAAGTTAATGTAAGTCGTCCGTCCCTTTACGAAGTTGAAAAAGCCATAGGAAATCTGAAACGAGGGAGAGCAGCAGGCCCTGACAGGTTTACTCCTGAGATTTTTAAGGATGGTGGTCCAGTATTAGCAATGAGATTAACTGAGGTCTTAGGTAGAATTTGGGAACTGGACGTAATCCCATCTGACTGGTCTCAATCACTGATTGTGCCAGTTTTTAAGAAAGGACAAAAGTCCTCTTGTGACAATCACAGAGGAATCAGTTTGACTAATATAGTGTCTAAAATATTAGCCTCAATAATACTTCGACGCCTAACTAAAGCTCGTGAAGAGCAGACTAGAGAAAACCAGGCTGGTTTTCGACCTGGACGTGGTTGTATCGATCAGATATTCACACTACGTCAGGTTCTAGAACAGAGACACACATTCAGACGCCCCACAATGGTAGTATTTCTCGACCTTAAGGCGGCATTCGACTCCGTTGATCGTGAGGTTCTATGGCAGTGTTTGTCACTGAAAGGAGTACCAAAGAAGTACATTAACCTTATAAAGGCTCTCTACTCGAACACAACTGGTAGAGTGAGAGCTTATGGCGAACTGTCATCAGAATTGATCACCTCAAGTGGTGTTCGTCAGGGCTGTCCACTCTCCCCATTCTTGTTCAACTTTGTCATTGACGTACTTTTAGAGATAACACTCTCCTCATCTAAATTTACAGGGGTTGAACTTCTACCAGGAGGTTCACTTGTTGACTTAGAATATGCAGATGACATAGTTTTATTTGGTGAAGACGCTGACAAAATGCAGAGTCTTCTGACCACTCTAAGCAACAATGCAAGCATGTTCGGGATGCGATTCTCTCCCTCGAAATGCAAAATGTTGCTTCAGGATTGGGTTACATCGACACCCGAACTAGTGATAGGGAGTGAAGTAGTTGAGTGTGTCGACCGCTTCACTTATCTTGGAAGTCTCATCAGCCCTTGTGGTCTGGTGTGTGACGAAATCTCAGCACGGATACAGAAGGCTCGACTAGCTTTTGCCAACTTGCGTCATTTATGGCGTAGGCGAGATATCCGTCTATCAACCAAAGGACGTGTTTACTGCGCAGCAGTTCGTTCCGTCCTACTTTATGGCAGTGAAACATGGTCGGTAAGAGTAGAGGATATCCGTAGGTTACTAGTATTTGATCATAGGTGTCTTCGAAACATTGCTCGTATATCATGGGACCATCGAGTAAGTAACACAGTTGTTAGGAAACGGGTACTAGGTAAGGATGGCAAATCAATTGATGAAGTAGTGAAACTTCATCAGTTGAGATGGCTGGGACACGTGTTACGTATGCCCTACGACCGACTGCCTCGACGTGCTATGTTCAGTGGTATAGGAGTAGGTTGGAAGAAAGCTAGGGGCGGCCAAACCAAAACATGGCACAAATCCATGAAGTCACTGACAAGTGGACTGAGTCATGTTGGTAGGTGTAGACTACCTGGTTGGGGACCGCGAGATGACAGCAACCGATGGTTAGAGACCCTGAATGACATGGCTCAAAATCGTTTGCAATGGCGCAGGTGCATCCACTCTCTGTGTTCTCCCAAACTCTAATCTTCTGAATTCTTCATGTCCCTTTTTTCCTCTTTCCAAATTTCTTTCACTGTATTATACTCTTTAAATAACATCTCCAAACCCTAATCTTCCCGATTACTACTTATACTCTTATTACCTCTATCACTACGGGATTTGAATCGACAAGTGCATCTCTGTGCTAATGTGGTGTGGCAACTCGAACTGATGTACGTACGTACGAAGTTCTACGTTGTTACTGACTGACTGACTGACTGATTTTTACTACTTCAACTTCCCTTTTAACAGATGGACTGATGTTTCAAATTATCAGTCATAGTCATGTTCTTGATAATGAAGTTTCCTAACAGTTGACAAACTTAGTTGTATATTAGAGTAAAGCCTAATGAAGATCTAATCGAAAACAATATTGTTCGCTTATGTATGTTGTTCTAAACTTAGTTATGCAAGGATATTAACTGTTAAAAAATAAAAACATCATTCTTATTAGCGTTGACTCTCTTGTTTAACGAGGATCGTGCTCACTGAGATAAAAAATATCTGGTCAATGTCGATCGTGTCTATCAAGTAAATCGTTAGTTTTTGTGGTATTAGTTAGTTCTAAAACGTTCATTTCAGTATCAAAAATCCTTAGAACATATCTGTATTCTGTTTCAGTCCCACCATTACATGATATGCCGACATAGCAGCTACAGTTGAGATCTGAATTTAATATGACTAGAGTATATGTCAGAAAAACCACAAAAGCGAAACAGGGTCCGTCATTCAGTGATATCGATCTCGAAAAAATGAATTATAATTGGCCTGTTTTAGTAAATCCTGAGAACAGTATGACTTAAATAAAAAAGGCTAATCTACAGTGGTGGGGAAAGTACATGTTATAGATAAAAATATTCGACAATAAGCCTGAAGCTGTCTCGAATGAAATGAAGATACATGCCAGTAGAAAATCACTATGGCAAAATAGAGCGAGGTGTAATTCATTCGATATCTTTGTTAGCAAACTGATTACCATAATAATATAATGGAATTCAACTGCGCCACCTATCCATAAATTAATTTAACGTTGAAGTATTTTCGATAAAACATTATGAAACTATAAGTATGAAGGTTTCCTGAGATCTTTGAATGTTACTGAGATCACAAATAGAATTAACTTAAACTTTTAAACGAATGGATGCCGAATCAGTGATCTAAATACTAAGCTCTCACTCCAAGACATGAATGCCCTGGGTTCTATCCCCGAAACAGTCTTCAATAAGCACTGCTAAGGAATCCTGTGTTAAGACAAAGCAGCCATCCAGTGCTTCCTGGTCATCAATCATTGTCTAACTCAAGTAATTATGAAATTAAACTCAAAATTAGCATTTAAATAGTAACATGACAGAAAAACAAACACAAGAAACGGCGGATAACTTACGGAAAAATGTATAAAATTGTTGTAAATTCAGATGTAATCCACCCCACCTTTCTGCCTTACGATTATATGGAGCTTCTGTTCCAAATGTATCCAATATACGAAATTTGCATAATGGCGTACTTAATTACGAGAAAAAGTAATAAAAAGGAATTTCTCTTCAGTGTTTTAATGTATAATAACGTTTCTATTGTTTGTCTAATAAATTATTTCATAATTTCAAGATATAGAAAAATTGTTACACAGAACGGTGGTTTTGAACGCATTTTATATTCTCAGTAATTTATTCAAAAGGATTTAATTGTATTTGAAAAAAATGTTACCATGATAACAACACAATATTATAAAAATGGATGCAAATATAGTTCAAGAACTTACCGGATTTTTGTGATATATAACTGTCTAAATCCTGTTATATCTGTGTATACTAAATCGTACTCATTACCTTTCACCATACATGGTATATGATCTGAATATGAAAGAAGCCTATCAGTTGTTATAAAAAAACAAAGTGAAAAAGTCAACATTTTTATAAAAACAAAATACCAACTATGTAAATAAAAAATAAAACCAATGTTAAGTGACCAACAGTTGAACTGATATCAAATCGCCGTCATTATCGAATGTCATAAATAAGCATCCACCATACTGCCTGCTGGATTAATTTTATGGTCAGAATAACCATCACTGTATATAGCATATCGACATTTATAGGTGCATGTATTTATGGGGATGTTAAGTTGGCTTATCCCTACTTAACTCGATTCTGTATTTGTAAGCTACTTTTATGATAAATTATTCGATGCCGTTTGTTAGTAATCAGTCACCTGAAGCATAGCAAAAATCCAAGGTTAAACTTTTAGAATCAAGACAAATAGGGCAAGGAAATATTAGTTTTGTGTTATAGCTCTACATAGGGTACTGGTGATTGTTAAACGAGACTTGGATTTAATTCATCCAGTCTCTTATTTGACTCACAGCGTCTGAATATAGAAACTTCAGATGGTTACTTACTTTTTGGTTATATCAGATCATCGTCGTTACTAACCTCTAAAGTAAAGACATCAGGTCCTGCTACTTTTACTTTTCTAGATTGAACTGTGGGTTTTCGAACTTCTGTAAAAGTTAGTTTCAGTTTAGGTTTGGGAAGGAGAGGAAACTTCTGTAAAAGTTATAAAGGCTTTTCTCAACCAATAATTAAAGATGTTTGAGAACATTGGACAAGTGAAGGGGCTATGCCTATCGTTCTTGGTGCTAGAAGCGAATCATGGTTCATCTTTTCTAGAGATAGTTCAACTAATTCCTGATTTCACGGTACCTGTTCCTTTCAAGGGCGTTACCTATTGATATTACATTTTTTTCTCTTTTATTTTCATCTTCCACTAATGTTAACAATCAGTCGTACAGTACATACAAACATTCGACCATATCATTTAGGTCAAAGGTGGTCCTATGTATATGTGAATAAGCGAGTTGTTTATGATTTTCTCGACCAGATAAGACGTGATTTTTTAAAAAATAGTCCAACACAATTATTTGATTTTTTGTAATACTGAGTGTATTAGGATGAAGTGCTTCAGCTGTTCACCGTTCACTATAGTTGGAGAAAATTTTGTGAATTATCTGAAAATTTTTAAAACCGATTTGATGGCTTTTGGAAATGACATTCACCACCATTTCTAACTTAGTTTGTAGTTTTGGTTCACTAACCGATTTTTCCATTATGAGCGTATTGCACTAATAAGACTTATTGTAAAGATTTATTCTTTATTCAAGTAATTCGATATTAGATGTTAAGGATCGATAAAATGAAGGTAAACCTTAGTCTTTGCCTGACTAGAATTAATAGTTAGCTTGTTAATGCCTCAGCCGCTTCAAATGACCTCTGACCTTTGTCTTGAAATGTTACTTATAAATGACGTTGGTAAACAGCATACGTGATACCGATACTTAGAAAGTACTTGAGATTAGCATTTTAATCACTTAACCGATCGGATAATTGTTAAATTCAGTATTAAACAGAAAATATATTTATATTGAGTGTAGTTAGCCTTATGATTCTGACACAAATGGTACTACGAATATGTGAGATACACAAGAAAAGATGAAATCTCAAAGGTCTTTTTACTGATAATACTACAGTTTGTACATATGATCTATTGCTGATATCAATAGAAATGTTGTGTATACTTTAACAAATTTTCTAAACAGAATCTATTAAATCAAAATTTTTGATAAATCTGTTCTTAGGCATGAAATTTATTTTCTGATATTTGATAACATTAGCATAAATATTTTGATAAAATCGATCAATTATAATTAAGCATATCACAACTGTTTACTCAGATTAATTGTTTTCAAGTAATTTCCATCACATTGTATTCATTTCAAGGAATTACTAGAAATTTATGTAAATTACTTCGAAAATCACTTATTTTACTTAATGCTTATTGTCTCCAGAAATCTATCTTAGAGCATGAAGTTTCTTTTAGTTATATAAACAAAAACTTATTTTAATGGTTTATATCATGATTCATTTGAGGTTAGACCACCATAAAAAACGTGGAAGCACTGGACGCCCGTTTCATCCTCATATGGAACTCCTCAGCAGTGCGCATCCACTATCCCACCCTGCGAGATTCAAACTCAGGACCTGTCGGTTTTGTGCGCGAACGCTTAACCTCTAAAGCACTGAGCTGGCATCCAACTTATTTGCTAAATGCGTTGTACAACGAATAGGTAAAATATAAGAACCATACATTGAATGCTTAATTTGCAAATTTTCATCATTTATCCTTCACATTCTGTATGATTCTTCCTATTCACAATTCCTTTCTAATTCCGTTTCTGTCTTTTTCATAGTCTTCTGCTGCTGGGTTTTCCACTTCCAATTTATGTTACATACTATTTATGTCAACAAACATTAATCCAAAACTTAGATTAATTTTGATTTGGTTATTTATTCTCTGAAGAATTGGATTACACTGAGTCAAAAAATGTCAAAAAATTCAATTTTTCTACTCATTGGTATATTATAAATATATTAATTAATTTATATTATTATTATTACTATTGTTATTATTATTATTATTATTATTATTATTATTATTAACTCTCTTATTCCATATTACCCATATTTATTCAAATCATTATTCTCACAATTTTATTTTACATATAGGCTTATTGAAGTCAACATTGCATATTAATCATTTTTAGCGTTAATTATTTAATATTATTTCACAATCCTACATTCATCTACTGTCATTTTAAACCGTGTATTTTGCTTTAAATCTGGCCACTTTTTGGATTATTATTATTAGTTCAGATACATAATTGTGGAACCTGAAGAGAATTTATTGAAATTGATATGTTTGTTGCTGTGAAATAATAAAATTACCCATGTAGTATATGTACCTGTCAGTTGGACAATATTTTTCTCTTGGTTCAAAAGAAACTTATCAATTGATGTTGTAAACGTTGACAACAGGAATATACAAACAAATATTGTCGGTCTGATCTGCAGATTTTATAATTAGATAGAATTTTTAAATCCCATCTTGTGAAGCTCGAATATTTATTGATACAAGTCGAGATTCATAAGTCATGTGTCAATAAACCATTTAAAAATTCTTCTTATATTTGTGGTATATTATTCGATTGTTTGCTTGATGAAAATAAAGATTATGATTAAGGGATTTATTATAAATCGTGACAAATTAGAATCGATCTACACATAATCTTACGACTTTGCATTAGTGGCCTCGTACGTAATTGTTAATCTATGACCAAGAATATAGAGAGCACCAATGAGATCAGTCCACTGAACAAGTTCACCAAGAGGACCACCTAAAATGTATAAATCAATTATGCATCTCCTTGTATATAAGTTTAATTCGATGAATCTAAGAACTAAATGAATTAAGTTTAATCACATTTTATTTCTGATAACAGATAAATGAAAGCCGTCACTATGAAGTGAAATCACATTTCTTTGGGTGAGAATTCGCCCCAACATTCAGAATTATAGTTTTACGTTCATTGATACTTTCGGAAACATCCAGCAATACAATGTATTTTAACTACTATCAGAAAAGGATTAGATTGGATACCCAAGGTTATAAATAAACTGCTTTTACATAACTTGGTGCTTTTTGTCATTAATGAACCCAATAATGTCAATAGTCTTTTCAAAATCGTTGTTTGCCCTATAATTTTACGTCGAGCTTACTCCAATAAACTTGTGTCAAGGTAGCAGAAAAACAGTATACAAAATAGAACAGACATATATCTATCTTATTCAATATGCTTCACAGATATCAAGATTACAAATAGTCAAATTACCTCTGGATACCGTTGTTTCGAAAATGTTATCACCAAAAGCATTCGATAAAAATTCCAAATGAAGAAGAATCTAGCAAAAAGAATAAGAATGAATTTAGTCCAATATAAATGTTTACGGTGAATAGGGATATCACTCCAACTAAGAACAATCCTCTTCAGAATGAGTAATTATGTATTCATTTAACGAGTTAAATGTCATCGTGATATAATTTTAATCTTATAATACAGTAAATTGTATTCATACATTTTGTCAATAAATCACGATCAAACGCCATTCAGTTTAATTTATTGAAATTCTAACTATTGATCGACGTAAAGAAAATGCGGAAATCAGTGTGTTCAGGAATAGTATTTAGTCTATATTTGATGTCTAATGAATTCTTAACTGCTAGCAACATTTTGGTTTTTAATTTGTGTCCGGCAATATCAGTTCTGCCGGTTGTTTTGTTTTGATTTTACTGAAAGTGATATTTTAACTACGCCTGCAGCTTTGCTACGATTACTGCCGGTTCCAGGCCCACACAGAAAAGCAGGATTGGGCATCGAGTCAGCAATATCATCTCGTAGAAAGCAACTTTTCTAAAAAGACGCCAATCAGAATACACAATTTCAACTCTGTCCTCCTAGTTGAACGATCTTCTTTCAGAAGAATCATGACTCCTCATGGTGAACGCCAAGATTCTTAAGAAGTCCGTGGCCGATGCCCCATCTTACAACCAGAGCGACTATTAATATAGGTACACGAATGTCCGGATAATGTGGAAGACCAGGAGGATCAGTCAAATAGCTGAGGAAGTGAGGAGATACGTGAGAATCAAGACAGGAGCTGACATAGCTTCAGATCATCATCTACCTGGTGGTTGACAAAATTAAACTGAAGCTAAAGAAGTACTGTACAACTCGGGAAACAGCATTAGCAACAGCAATTAACAACAGCCGAACACGAGCAGAGAAATTCAAGATGCAAGCTGAATACACAGAAGAAAACAATCAAGTGAAGAAGAGCATCGAAGTCAGCAAGCAGAAATATATGAAAGAACTAGCAACGGCGGCGGAAAAAGCTGTATGAGAAGGAAACATCAAACAACCATGCAACACAACGAAGAAACTGTCAGGCAAATATAGTAAAGAAAAGAGACCAGTTAAGGACAAACAGGGCAAGACAATCACCTAGATTCAAGAACGAAGGGATGAATGGGTAGAATACTTAGAGGAACTCTTGAATAGACCAGCTCCATTGAATCCACCGGACATCGAAACACCACACACAGACATTCCTATAGATGTCACCCCAACAAAAACAGAACGAATAGCGATGGTCATCAGACAAATCAACAGTGCGAAAGCAGTAGCACCTGACAATACATCAATCGAAGCACTGAAGTCACACATAGAAGCAACTGCAAACATGTTCCACATTCTATTCAGGAAGATCCTCAATACGAACGTCAAGACAGTCCTACTGTATGGAGCTGAAACTTCGAGAACCACTACAACCATCATCAAGAAGGTGCAAGTATTTATAAATAGTTGTCTACGCAAAATACTCAACATTCATCCGACGGATACCATCAGCAACAGTCTTCTGTGGAAGAGAACAAACCAGCTTCCAGTTGAAGAGCAACAACAGCACTCCTACAATTGGACAACATATGTAATTCAAAACAACTGTCAATCAACATCAAAGTGAAAATCTTCAATACGAATGTCAAGACAGTTGCACTGTATGGAGCCGAAACACGATGAACAACCACATCTATCATCAAAACGGCACATGTATTTGTAAACAATTATCTATGTAAGATACTCAATATCCGATGTCCGGATATCATCAACAACAACCCACTGTGGGAAAGAATAAACCAGCTTCCAGTTGAAGAGGAAATTAGGAACAGACTGTGGAAGTGGGTATGACAAAAATTGAATAAACCACCAAAATGCATCACGAGGCAAGTGCTAACTTGGAATGCTGAAGTGAAATGGAAAAGTAGAAAATTAAAGAAGACACTGCGTCGATAATTGGAAGCAGACATCAAAATGATGAATAGAGACTGGAGAGAACTGGAAAGGATAGTCCAGTGAGTGTGGGCATTTAGATGGAGGATGCCGGTGGGCAGGTTTTGCTCCTCCACGAGGAGTAACAGGCATAAGTAAGTAGGAGGTGACTTGTTACAACCAACCGCAGAAAATAATAATTCTAAATAGGTTACACTATTCATAAGCAATTTGTATCCCAACTAAACACTGTGTTGCATGGCTGAAGGTATCCTAATTCAGAATATAGTATACAAAAATTAATTACTTGGATAACCGTATTTTTGGAAATAGTTATTATTATTAATGGCCTTATTCAATATTATATTTTGGTACAATATAGAATTCTCAGCACATCATAAGAAAATACAAAGATTAGTTGCACAGTGATTCTAAAGAAAGGAAATCGTAAAATGGAAGTATTTTGGTAAGTGTAAAAGACAGGATTGTACCAGAAAATATGATAAACTGCCCTGACGAGCAAACTCGTGACCAGGTTGTCCGTATACATTTTGTATAGATAAGTCATATTTTTCAAACTGAATCCAGGCTCTCGTTGCACTCTTTAAATTTATGAAAGATATTAATTATTTTAAACAGTGAAACACTCACGTTCAGCTTTGGTCTTCCATATAAAAACGGTTGACCTGTTATTTTAGTAGACTGACAAAGATTAAAGCAAGTCATATCATCAGAAGAACAATGTTTACAATGATCTAGTGAATCAGGCCACGAAAAATTAACACCATTTATATAGTGTTGAATTCCTTCTAGCCAATCAGGCCAAATGCGCTTTAGCCTCGCACGCATAAACGTGTTTGATACTAAATGGTTTTTGTACTCAGGTAATAGATCAAGTAGACCTTTAAGTTCTCGATTTATCTGGAAAAAAAGTATTGAAAAACAAGATCAGTCTGATAAAAGACGGAAAAGATAAAACTGTGCAATAATAACTAATGATCAGATAAAGAAATCGGTCCTCAAAAAGAACAAAATATGAATGTGAGTCAAAAACAATTGATGTGATGTTTTTGACAACATGTGATCAACACCCTTCTACTTTCATTGATATCATGAAGCGATCAATGTTAAACCTTCATTGAAAACCCGGAAGCACTAGATAGTTGTTTCTTCTCATTATTGGACTCCTAAACAATGAACAACCAGGAAACCGCACCAAAGGAAATCAAATCCGGAACCTTCGACCTCGCGCGCTATCGCTTAACCTCTGGACCACTTATTGAGGCTTCAATGGCACACAAGTCTAACTTTAATCAAACCACGGCATCACGCGACCATTGTCTCCGGTAATTAACTAAATCCCAGCCTACCAGTCTAGAGTTTAAGCGTTTCCACGCGAGATCGAAGGCTCCAGGTTTGAGTCCCTTTGGTGTGGAGTCGTCGGTACTCTTCACTGAGAAGTCCCGTACTGAGGCACAATGACCGTCTAGTGCCTCCAGGCTTGCAAGGATGGTCTAACATTGATCGACCCTATACATACACCTTTCTGCTTCTTGAATATAAATAACCGGTGATAATTTCAAGCTATTCTGACGCATAATTGATTAGGTAATATACGTTTACCTGTAATTGTGAATATAATATTTCTAATAGTTGTTTAACTTATCCTAACATTAATTTTGTGGTTTACAGATTCTATTCAGCAGTTTATATTACAATAAGCAAAATAGAAAAACCTTCTTTACTAAATTGTTGAAAATAAACTACTGAACTAGCAATTATGTAACCGTACACTTTCCAAGGAATATATATCTCCTTAAAGAAGAATCAGTATGCACACAATCACTAAAGAAACCTTCCAGAAACAATTGGAATCATGAATATCAAATAAACACACCTTCACAAACTATTGAAATCTTCTGCATTATCGTTTCGTGAGTAAATCACAAACGAAACTACATTCACGTAGAAAGAAAACATTACGACTGATAGAAAATTAGTTCTGTATATTGCACTCAAAAAACATCAGGAAATGGAAATGTGAAGAATAAAGACTAATATGATTGCAAAACTTTCTGTAGATCACAGTTCTAATTTGATTATTCAAAATGAAACTAGTTGTACATCAGTATTTATTAATTTTAAGTACACTTGAGTGTAACACGAAATATAGTGATTCAGTTTTCTTATAAATATATAAATTAAAATTAAGCAAACACTTATGTCATTTATACCTGAGCTTTTCTACGTCGTTTTACAAATTTTCGGTTATCCATTATTGGGCAGAAACTTTCAACCTATTCGAAAAGATGAGATAAAATGTTTGCATGAAAACGAACTCAAAGAGCAAGATAATAAAAATGTTGTTCAGTAAAAAAATTGATTTAAAACCTTGGCAACAAAATAATTTACTTGAAATGTATTGGCTTTCGAAATTTGGTTAATATCTTGCATATAACGTAAAAGGTAAGGAATTAACAGACAGAAATCTAATTGATTCCTCCTAGTAATCACTTAACGTGGAAGAACTAGCAACGACGGTGGAAAAAACTGCAAGGGAAGGAAATTTGAAACAAATTTACGATACAACGAAGAAACTAGCAGGGAAATACAGTAAACCAGAGAGACCGGTCAAGGACAAAGAAGGCAAGCCAATCGCTGAAATTCAACAACAGCGGAACAGATGGGTAGAATAATTCGAGGAACTCCTGAATAGGCCGGCTCCAATGAATCCACCGGACATCGAAGCAGCGCATACAGATCTTCCTATAGATGTCAAGCCACCAACCACCGAAGAAATCAGAATGGCCATCAGACAAATCAAGAGCGGGAAGGAAGCAGGATCCGACAATATACCAGATGAAGCACTGAAGTCAGACATCAAAGTAACTACAAACATGCTTCACCTTCTATTCGAAAAGATTTGGGAGGAGGAACAAGTGCCGATGGACTGGAAAGAAGGACACCTCATCAAGATTCCAAAGAAAGAAAACCTGAGCAAACGTGAAAACTACAGAGGCATTACACTACTGTCAGTACAAGGAAAAGTCCTTAACAGAGTTTTGCTGGACCGGACGAAAGATGCAGTAGACGCCCAACTTCGAGATTAACAAGCTGGATTCCGTAAGGATCGGTCGTGCACAGACCAAATTGCGACATTACGGATCATCGTCGAACAATCAATTGAGTGGAACTCGTCACTGTACATCAACTTCATTGATTATGAAAAGGCAGTTGACAGTGTAGATAGGAGAACGTTACGGAAACTTCTTCGACACTACGGCGTTCCTGAGAAGATTGTCAACATTATCCGGAACTCATATGACGGACTACAGTGCAAGGTTGTGCATGAAGGACAGCTGACAGATGCATTCCAAGTAGGGACCGGAGTCAGACAAGGCTGTTTACTCTCTCCCTTCCTCTTTCTTTTGGTGGTCAACTGGATTATGAAGACCTCGACATCTGAGGGAAAACACGGAATACAATGGACAGCTCAGAATCAATTAGACGATTCGGACTTCGCAGATGACCTGGCACTCCTATCGCATACACATGAACAAATGCAGATAAATACAGCCAGTGTAGCAGCAGTCTCTGCATCAGTAGGCCTCAGCATACACAAGAGGAAAACCGAGGTCCTCAAATACAACACGGAGAATAGCAATCCAATCACTCTTGATGGCGAAACTCTGGAAGATGTAGAATCCTTCACATACTTGGGAAGCATCATCGATTAACAAGGAGGTTCAGATGCAGACGTAAAGGCGAGGATCGGCAAAGCAAGGACAGCACTCCTACAATTGAAGAACATATGGAACTCAAAACAACTTTCAACCAATATCAAAGTGAGGATCTTCAATACGAATGTCAAGGCAGTTCTACTGTATGGAGCTGAGACTTGGAGAACTACAACAACCACCATCAAGAAGGTGCAGGTATTTGTAAATAGCTGTCTTCGCAAGATACTCAACATCCATTGGTCGGATACCATCAGCAACAGCCTTTTGTGAGAGAGAACAAACCAGCTTCCAGCTGAAGAAGAAATTAGGAAAAGACGATGGAAATGGATAGGACATACATTACGCAAATCGTCAAACTGCATCACGAGACAAGCCCTAACTTGGAATCCTGAAGGGAAGCGGAAAAGAGGAAGGCCAAAGAACACATTACGTTGGGAAATAAAAGCAGATATGGAAAGGATGAATAACAACTGGAAGGAGCTGGAAAGGATTGCCCAGGACAGGGTTGCATGGCGAATGCTGGTGAGCGGCCTATGTTCCTTCACGAGGAGTAACAAGCTCAAAGAAGAAGAAAGAAGTAATCACTTGATTATGATGTGTGTAAGTGATACTGTTTTAACAAGCAAATATAGTGTATTTTGATTTTGCAAACGATTGTTTCAACCAATGCCAAATGAAAAGGACCTATTTGATCATTGAAGTAGAATCAAATACATTTCAGTGAAGAAACGTTTTCTTTCTATGATGTCATTAGTTTAAACTGTAAAATCGTATTTTGTGGCGATTTAACAGATATAGTAGTTTACTGAAAAATTATTATGTTATAAAGTTTTCGGAAATTTCGACTGCTAAAAAAGGTTAAGTAAACGTTTGAGAAGTTAAAGAATAATAGTACAAATTTTTAAATGACAATTGTTCAGAACAGCGGTTTGTGTAGATTGTAGTAATTTAATAGTTGAATTCATGAGTCGATTTAAACTAGACCACCATTAAAAACGAAGAAGCACTAGAGAAAATGGTGGACGGTCGCGTAGTATCGTGGATCGGTCGAGGTTAGACATTAAAACCGTTGGATCCCGGCTCAGTAGTTCGAGTCCCGTGTGCGGGATCGTGGATGCGCACTGCTGAGGAGCCCCATACTGGGACGAAACGGCCGTCCAGTGCTTCCAGGTTTTCAATGGTGGTCTAGCTTCAACTGACTCATGATTTCAATCTGTGAATATTTATCAATGATTAAAATATATCGATAGGAATTCAATTTTCACTTAAATAATTTACATATTCAGTGTATAGATAATTCTCAGCGAATTTTCATTTCAATTTGATAGAATGATCATAGGTAGTTTACAATCCACTGATGAAAATCGATCCATTAATAATAACACTCACCTCACTAAGATAACGAAGAAATGAACATTCTGATCCATCTACTCCTAACTCAGCATAACATGAATGAGTTTGCCAAGATATCCGTAACCACTAGGAAAACCAAATTTTAGATGATATTCATTCGGTTATTTATTTTTGTTATAAATGTTATATAAGATTATTGAAAACAATTAGTAGAAAGTAGAAAATTACATTTCTGACGTTTCGTGACTTCATGTAAGCTACCTCTTATGAGAATAAATATTCTCATTCATTTACTACACATTAGGGTATTAAAAATATGCCATTATCTTTATTATTAAAATCTGGTCAATACTCAACTAATCGGAATCATCAAGTGAAATATTGGTAACTATACCTACAAACTCACTAATAAGTGGAAAGCTCAAAGTCTAGGTTTCACGATGGTTGGTTTGGATTAATAAGTAGATCAAGAGATCGAGCCGTTCAGCCAATTGGTCAAATCACAACGTCAAAAACAGAGTATGGTGACAGTGATAACAAATCATTGACCAATCAGTGTATTCAACTGAGTCTATGAGTTATTCTGAATTTCCTGGAGAGCTTTATCATAAGGAAACATGACTGTAAAGTAACTAAAGTGAATACAAAGTCAGCTATTTACATACTGTCGTTCTATGTAAGCTATAAATGGTTGATAGTTGAGTGCTAATCATGGTACTTTTATCAGGCACATAGAAGGAGGACAGAAGAACCGGGTTTGTGATTGTATTAAACTAATACTCAATGTAGTAATAAAACTTAGTAACCTCGTAAATGTTCATGCACTAAGACTAGTATGTACTGTGAAAGATAAATGATTTTTCTAACTTTGATAAGTAACGCGTATTTCACATACGTAACCTACTGATCGTTAGTATAAAGATAAAGAGATAAACTAAAGCTCTCACTAAATTACGGTGTAAACTTTAGTAAGTGTTTTTTTATCTAACGGGGTTATCGAGATCCACTAAAAGAAAATAAAAATTCATGTAAAAAAACGTCTAGACAAAAAAACCAAAATGCCTGTTTCACTTTGAGTGTAGTAATGAAATATCACCACTTGATACGTAGTTAACTAAATTATACAGAGTGAAATGTAAAAGGAAAAACAATAACTTCAGCAAAAATAAAAATGAGGCGCATATGCTATTAGTGATTACTAACCATAGGCATAATTTAAAAAGAAAACAGAACGAACGTTAGTTTTTTCTCTGCTCAATTTCGGTTTATTAAGGATACAAATGAAAACAATGAACGAATATTTACGTGGAAAGATTTTAAATGGTTTCCAGTGTAAGATGCAACCTTTAAAAGAAAACTTTACCAGTAAAAACCGTAAAACATCCATTTGAGGGATCTAATGTGAAACAAAGTTGGCAACAAACAGACATAAACTTCATGTCTTTTATGGTTAATCGATAAAAATTACGAGTATCGTGAGATCTCCAGCAAGAAAGTCTGCATCTAAAACTATGATCGGGCCATCATTCAGTATGTTCAAAGATTGATCCTGTGTGTTAATTTAATCACTCGTGACCTGTCCTCTGATCAACCTTCTATCTCAATTTGTATAGCATTCTGGAGTGCACAGAAACAGCATACATAAGAAATGTTTCAACCAACTTATTCAATGAAGATTCACATTTTTATTAGGTAATTTACTCTTTATATTCAGTTTTTAGCACCAAACATCAGAAACCTATAGAAAACAAGATGGTCTCAGATAACTGTTCCATTTTAAATAGGAAACCCTTAGCAATGAACAACCTCTCTGTAAGCAGGATGAGATCCAACCACCAAGCTAGGATCCAGAATTAAACATTTTCTGTGACGAGTGGGAACGTTAACCGTTTACTTGAAAGTGTGTCTAAATCTGTTAAGAGTGAATTATTGGTTTCCTAATAATTAAATGTATCATCAAATGTATTTCCGTAGATCCCAGCTCATACTTTTAGAATGATATTGGGTTACTATGAATAAAATGATGTTCCGATATACAGGTTACGCGTACTTAGTCGGCCACAACGTAGGACCAGGTACATATATACATCGGTCCAAGTTGCCATACCTCATCAGCACAACAAGATGAACACCGAATTCATAGAAGTAGTTGATTCAGTTGTATTAATGTATGAAAAAAAGATTGTGTATAAGGATATACTACAGAAAGAAAGAATTAGTTGGTAAAAGAAAAATATGAAGCGATTTTAGTCTCACAGTTTAAGGGAAAACAGAAAGTGTAGACACCGATGCCATTGTAATCGATTTTGAGCCATGTCATCCAGAGTCTCCAACCAATGGTTACGATAGTCACGCGGACCCCAACCAAATACTCTGGATCTATCAACACGGCTCAGACCAGGAGTTAGTGACTCCAAGCACTGATGTCAAGTTTTGGTTTGGCCGCCCCTAACTTCCTTCCAACCATCCCCAACACCAGTCAGCATTGAGCGCTGTGGTAGTCGGCGTTCAGGCATACGCAACGAGTGGCCCAACTATCTCAGTCGATGAAGATTTACAACCTCATCAACTGATTTACCATCATACCATAATACCCTGCATCTAACCTCACTATTACGAGTATCTTCTACACTTAATGGTCACGTTTCACAGCTGCACAGTATGTTCATCCCTCAATTGATAGATGGATATCTCGCCTTCCCCGTAGGTGACATAAGTTAGCGAAAGCCGAACGAGCTTTACGAATTCGTGCTGAGATTTCGTCTGACACCAACCCATTTGGGCTGAACACACTTCCAAAACAAGTGAAGTTGTCGACGCGTTCGACTGCTTCACTCCCAATCCTTAGTTCAGGTGTTGGCGCAGGTCAGTCCTGAAGCAACAACTTGCATTTAGAGGGAGAGAAGATCATTCCAAACATCCTGGCATTGTTGCTCAGTACTAACAAGAGACTGCATTTTATCTGCGCCTTCGCCATGCAGGACTATTTCATCTGCGAATTCTAAACCGATAATTGGACCTCCTGGTTGGAGCTGAATGCCTGGGAATTCAGTCGACGAGAACGTCATTTTCACCAGTATGTCTACGATGAAGTTGAACGAAAATGGAGATAGTGGACAGCCTTGACGAACACCACTTGAAGTTGCAAAATCAGATGACAGTTCGCCATAAGCTCTGACTCGAGTAGTAGTGTTCGAGTAAAGAGCCTTCACAAGGTTTATGTACTTCTGTGGTACAGCTTTCAATGACAGACACTGCCACAGAATCTCTCGGTCGACAGAGTCAAATGCTAATTTTAGTCAAGAAGGACTATCATTGTCAAACGCCGTTAAGCATGCCTATGTTCTAGACCTGACGAATGGTAAATATATGTGGTCGACGCAGCCACGACCGGGTCTGAAGCTAATCAGATAGTTTCTGAATTTGATGCGTTAAAATAACATACTAATTGTCGATGAATACCAATATTTGGAAAAGTGAGATATACGTCATATCTACTCCTCAGAATTCACAAATACATCAGATGCCATGGAACCAGATTCAGACAATGATTTTAGTTAAAATTCTATGCAATTGTAGTTGTTGCAATACGGGAGTACCTCCAACTCAGTAAAATACTCGCCGTATGTGGACTATCAAAAAACGGTTAGTATTTACGTCAATGATGTAATGTTAGACCCAAGGAAAACCACGATAGCTGCTCAAAAATGCGACTATTCCTAGTTGAAAAGTATAGCGTGCGACCACGGATAATATTTTAGCTTTAAAGTACCAAATAATAAGTTTTGGTACATTTAGTTAAACGGTACGTGTTTTGGATATTTGAAATTATTGAGATGAATGTTAAGATTTTAATTTAAACAAACACTATATCATTTCGATTAGCAACATGTCAGATTATCTAAGTTGTTTGATAAGCATGTAGTGTGTGCGTTTTTCATTCACATGAATGTCCTCATTAATTCTAACCAACTTTGTTGTTTGTATACTCAAAATAATATTACAGAATGGATCATAAGTTGCCCATTACTTTACATTCTACTAGACTTCAATAAAACAAATTTGTTCATGAACATCGAGGTAAAACAAATGAATATGTTTCTCTGGCATTTTACCAATAATAAGCAATTCAAGTAAGCAACATACAGTTGCGCTGTTCATTTGCACAGCAATTAAAGCGACTAGCAAATTGTAGACGACTTGATCAAATTAACTATCTCTATTGATAGTTACAACAACTGCAGCGTCTTCGTTGAAATATGTGAATAGTTATCAACGGATTAAAAAAATACTATATAACAATGATTCCCAACCCAATACAGTTATACAGTTATACTAAGAGGGTATAATGGTTTAGTAAGTCACTTCTCTAAAGCATCGCTTTACTCTAATGGGTATATTTATTAAGCAGCAGTAATGCAAAGTTATATGAAATGAGATAGCGTTCAAGATTACAGACAAGAACTTGTGTAATACTCACAGTGGAACTAGAATTAGTGACCAATTTTTGTGTGAAATAATATTTGCAGCTACACAGATAAAAATAAGTTAAATACCAAGAGACAGATATAAACAGTCTCATACTGACATATGCCTACATTCTCACTAAGTTTGGATTAATAATTAAATAGAGAAATAAGTCGATAATTTAATTTTCTGCGGAATTCAGGTAATTGACCTACATTTAATGTAACTTGCTAAAAGTACACATAATTAGCTATATAACACACACAACTAATTAAAATATACTTTAATTTGTTTTGTGGAGATATGCATGACATGCACATTAGTAATACACAATGTGTTATTGTGTAAAATATCATTGATGTGGCATAGCATAGCAACCACAAAAAGAATGAAAATACGGTCATTCAAGGTCTTGGTTTGCTAATAATAGCATTAATGAGCAAAACTGTTAATAAACCCGCAAGAAAATTGAACTTTCTATTTTTTATGTACAATTAATAAATAATAAACTAGAATTCACTCGTTTATTATCGCGATCGTGGTTTTTATGCTATGCTACATCAATGCTGTTTTACACAATAACACATTGTATACTACTAATGTGCATGTCATGCATATCTCCACAACCCAAATCATCTAAATTTACACAAGTTCAAATCTGTTTGGATCAAACACCTAGTGCATTTCATATAGTGATGCTATACGTATTGTTTGTATTGTTAGATGTTTTAATACAAACGTCAAGACAGTTCTACTGTAGGGAGTTGAAACTTGGAGAACTACTATAATAATCATTAAAAAGGTAGAGGTATCAGTAAACAGCTGTCGACCCAAGACACTCCAGATCCGTTGGCCGGGCACCATCAGAAGCAACCTACTGTGGCAGAGGTCTCTTCAGCTTTTAGCTGGAGAGAAAATTAGGCAAAGCCGCTGGAGGTGGATAGGCTACACATAGAGGAAATCATCAAGATACATCACGAGGAAAGCCCCAATTTGGAATCCTTGTGGCACAAGGAAAAGAGGTAGACCAGGTAATACATTGCATCGAGAATTGGAGGCAAGCATGAGAAAAATGAATAGCACTTGGAAGTAACTGAAGAGGAGAGCGGAGGACAGAACTGGCTGGAGAATTATGATGGGTAGCCTTCGTCCCACTAGAGAAAACAGGCGTAAGTAATTGAGCAAACTCTGTACAATTTACTAGAACGTTAAAGGGCAAGATAAACTAATTACTTTACCGATAATATATTACATTTTTAAGTGTATTATCGAGATAAAAATAGGCTACGAATAAACTGATAGTTATAGAAAAACAAACATGTGTACAAGATTTACTTCAATCTTGGACAAACATTCCGGATATCCCGTTAAATCTTTAAGTTGAATGTCACACTGACTCTCTTCATCATATAGACCTAGAAAAATGAATCAAGAGAAAGCGAACAGGAAAAATAAAAATACGGTACACTTTAATACACGGTTTGTTTTCTTTCTTTAATTCCTAGCTACCTAATCTTTCTAATAAAACTGGGAGTCTACCTATTATTTCCTCACAGAATTGTTAACCTCCAACAGCTTCATCTATTGAAGACCTACCTGCACTTTTTGATGAGATGAAACTAAATGAAAACGTACAAGTTATAACCCTTTCTGTGTTCATGATAGTTCATAGTCCTACCTACTCTGATTCATATCTGGTAGACCTAACACTGATAAGAATATAAGGGTGAAAATCACACGAAATAGAAGCAGAATTCACCTAGGTGGTCAATTTTGTTTTAATATGATTCCTTACTGTGAAATAAGAGGCAAACTGTTACCGAAAATCAGAAGAAACCACCCAACTTTCCAACAAATTACATATATTTAACCCCTAAAATGTCGAAATGTAAGCCGATTCACTAATGCTGTACGCCGAATGCATTGTCCATTCTAAACAGTCAGTCAAATTTTAATCGCTAACATGATAAACGTACATGTAATCATGGGGTGATACTAAGTTACTGGAAAGCACTGTGTCAAATAAAAAAACAAAATGAAGTTTTGATTTGATAAATTTTAATTAATTAGTTACGCTTTACATCACATACCATATTTATTTAACTGTATATTATACGAGTCGCCAAGAATCATTTTTTGAATGTTATCTAAAGCCCTGGTGTGTTTCTGCAAAAGGTTGGCAATATCAATCTATAAAACATGAAAGTAAACATAATCAATATTTCCCACAATACAACAAACCAAAATTATCAATATACGTTTTTATATTGTCATTTTATATTGACGGGTAAATGTCTGAAGAAGGAAACTGTAAGAACGGATGGATACTATAGGAAACGAACTAAGCAAATCCTCAAATATGGATGAAAATTAAAGATATTATAGCACTTATTAGCTTAAAATACATTTTCCGTTATGATATTAGTTGCTGTAGGCGAGATACTCGACGAGTAACCAGAATGTTTGGAAGGGTTTTAATATGACAGGACAAAACGCCGAAATTTCTCCTTAAACTCATTGTGATTTTTGTTCAATACCTCTCCTGTACTTAATTCAATATGATGATCACTCAGCGTCTTATTCAATTTATTTGCAGTGTGGTATCTTGATCATTATAAAGTAATTTACTTCCATGTTATATCTATTTAAAATATTTTTTGTATTGATTCAATGCAAAATTCGTTCAAAATGACACATAGCTTGAAGCTTAGTAGTAACTTTAAGAAACTCGCCTATGAGTGATAATTGTTAGATAATCATTAATTGTAAGTAGAATGAACATAATAAATACATGTATTCATGTACAATTTGATATATATTTTGGAATTCAAGCAAAGTTTTTTATTGCCAAGTACCAAATCATCTAAGCATTCTGTAGACGTTACAGATGGCAACATGAAAAATTTATAAATTGATTGTACTGAAGTTTAGAGGTTTTGACGGTTCATGTTTTTGCAATAAAGTAAATATTTTTTACAACTTTCCATATCACTAAGGGTCTATTAACCTTTTGAGAACTTTGTGGTTTCTTCATTATGAGAATAATTTCTCACTCTGTCATTACACTGTCAAGTATGACATTAAAATGGAATTTGTTTCTAATTGAAGTTAGCCGTACAAAATACATACATTTCTTAGCCGGACTATGGTCATTAGATGGTGAAACCAGATGACTAATCCCTAGATATATTTTATAACTGATAGTTATTTCCCAGGTACAAATAGCCGTTGATTTTAAGTTTTCGAGGTTCATAATTGCTTTTGTCACCGAATGACTCAAATATCTTAAAGTTGATACAAAATTTTTTTTGAAAGCCTCAGCAACTAAATGTGTGTTCTTTATAAAATTATTGGATTTAGAAACTTTGATAATTAATTAATGCATTAAAGATAGAAAGTACATTGTACTTTTCAAGATATTTGTCACGAGTACTTACCACCCAAAATGCTGTTAGTATAACAGTAAAGATAACAACGATGGACAAAATTCTATATTTTTCAAGACGTTTTTTCATCAGTCGGCTGTAGAAAAAGTGATTTGCCATCATGAAATGAGACTATTTCAGAAACCTGAAGACATAAAAGCACTCCTAAGTAAAAGTAGTAAGTTCAAGTAAAATGTAAACTGTTTTTTGATCAGCAACAAATGAGTGATTGGTAAAATTATTAAGTCATTTAACAATAGTTAGTCGGTTTGAATGACCACATATCTGTAGCAGCAAACAAATCCCAAAAGTAGATAATTCTGTAGGTAGTCGACATTGATGCTGACTTCATAAGTTTTACCGGACGCAGCCTAGTTTGGTCAAGCATCTGCACCAGATCACCGTTGAGCCCACCGTGCTAACCATCACCTACAGCAACTAGTCAGTTTAGCTTACGTACTTCTCAACACATCGACTATCTTCCAAGCATGTCTTCCAACTCCGTCACTCCTGACTTCTAGTTTGACGGGGTTTGTGAACCTTGATTACAACGTTGTTATGGACAACAGCGTTGTCAAGCTCTGAAATATCTGTGACGCTTTAACATTTTTAAACCAAACAAACATTTTCTAAAATTTGAACTGAAAATGCGAAAATGAAGATTTTAAAAATCAGACCAGTTATATGCGGTGCCTTGCATTAGAGAAACATCTTACAATGTGCGTCCAAATAATTAATTAGTGTATCTTGAAAAGTGTATCGTTTAAAAAATAGTAAAATAACGTTTCAAGCTAGAAACAGCTTCATACGAATATTCTTCGTAAGACAAATTATATCTAGGCAATTAACACTTACTCGGCAATAAAATCTGGGATTAAAAAACTAGTTACAAAATAGCCCATGGAGAACTTCGAGATATCACTTTTTAAAAATAAGACTTTATATGCTAAAACCTTATAAATGATATTGTTCTGAACAGCAACAATAAGCTAGTCTCCAGATTTCTGAGAACAATACTTACTAATGAGTAGAATAAGCTTTTTAAAGTATACAGGCAAAACTAATTATTTATAATCCTAAAGCGACTGTCTAAAGTGTTGAGCAACAATTTACTACAAATAAAAGTACACAAAGCATGTAAGCATGGAAATATAAAGCGTTACAAAATGGATAAATATTCTCACTTTTAAAGACTGTTAATTATTTTGACCGCCAAGTCATTAGATTATGTACTAAAACTACTCATAAAAATACTCAGATGCACAAATGTTTTGGTTTTTTCTTAGAACTAGCTTATCATGATTGTTGAGAAAACAGTTATACACAAGTCCCACAAAACGTTTTTTCAAAAAATCACTGTGAACCATAAATCATACACTGGCTAGTGGTAAATGCCAAGTGATTAATCTGAGTTTGAATGAATTGCCCGCCATCCTGTAGCAAAATTAAACCCTTTGTATAATCAAATTCAAGGAAGCACTGTGTATCAAACATAGTGTGATTACTTATAAATTAAGCCATATATAAATTTGATAAATAACTAACACATACAATGTACAAGTGAATATCTTATGTTATGTGTCGTTCAGTTATAGTAATAAAATACAATTTCATATTGTGTACTTTGAATCCAAGTTCTTATGTGTGTTCTTCCTAAGATATAAACTTATTAAGATTAGTAGCATTGTAATAAACGATTACAGTTTGGGGACTAAAAATGCATTTAAATACAATATTACGGAATCTTTTGGTAAAAGATGAGAATCATACACTGAACACTTCATTTGCGAGTTTCCATAATATTTCCACCACCTTATATGTCTGAATACTTACCAGGGGTAATAGACGATATCAGTAATATATGTAAACCCTCTCAAAGGAATAGAACTAACGGTCTCTTTCAGTCTGATCAATGACTTGTTGCTTATATCTTCAGCAGTGCTTCAAACTATACCAATCAACGAAATACATTCAAATAGTTGGCGGCATTCACGACACGTGTATTAAACATCCAGGATGATTTGTGATATTTACTTAGAACTCTATAACCAGCATCACGATTGTTTAGTTAATCGTCCCACTATACCTTAGCACCTAGGTGAATCTCCACGTGTTGACACATTAAAAAGTAAAGTGGCTAAATCTATAGACCAAAACCACCGGGATTATTACAAACCATTCAGAACTCATAGTCTCTAATTGCAAACTATAATATACGTCGGTTATGTGTCACAGGCGCTATGATCAAATATGAGAGTTATGAGCAAGAATGTTTTCAGAGACTCCTGATTTTTGTTTGATTACAGAAAGCTGAAGCGTAACGTTAACTCCTAATACTCAGTGACTTTAGTATCCACAACCTATCTCCTGCCAAACAGTAGGAAATCAAGGGCTGACGACAAAAATCTGTATAACAGTATATATCATGCGTAACAGGGTAAATAGTCAGATCAAAGCGAAAGCACAAGCTTCAAACAAAGAAATTAAGCAGTACCTACCCAAATGACCCGTGAGTAGAACAAACAATGTCCTCGAATGATCAGCCTAAATGTTTCTGAACACTTGAAACACGGTCGATTCTACTTAGAAAATGTTTTGTTGAAATGTATACTAAAATCCCGTTAAAATAGGTTTATTATTTTGAAAATAATAAAATAAAATAATTCACCGAACTCAACCTACGGATTCAAAATTACAGATAATGTACTATAAGAGGTGATGGAGCATTATGAATAATAAACCCCCGAAAACTTATAAATTGTTTAAAATAAGCGCTAGAAACTAAACGATTGGAAGCACACGAATGTGTGGTAAAGTAAAAGTAAAGTGTAAAGAGCTTCAAAAATGCAGCTAACACACAGTGATATAACATCTGATCAGCCTTGAGTAATCAAAAGCGAAGAAAAACAACTAAGAAGATGGGGAAACATCTTTGACTGAAGTCCTAAGTTCAAATTGTTCAAATGGTTGTGGACGGAATGGAAGAAGCTTTCGCTTAACGGGCTTCCGTGTCTTCCTAGAGCCAGCCGCAGCGTACTCCCAATCTAGGTATTTTCATGTTTGAACTGGTTAAGGGCACGTCTTCTATTTAAATATTATTGGTGTAAACTTCTGTAACTGGACGAAGTACTATTCTTGGCCTGTACAAACTCAAACATTGATTTATACACTTGTTTGGTCATCAGTCGAAACGCATACTTCCTGCACTTTACAAAGTTGATCCTTAAATCAATCAGTTTTCGATAAACCATACTACCTTTTTACAAACGTTGCATCTATATCGCCTAGTTTTCAGTAGATTTGCGTCTAGTTCGAATGTATCTTTGATGTTGGAGCAGTGTGGTGAGCCGTTTGCGCAAGACCTGCGTGAGAAAAGAAAAGAAAAAAGTTTTCGAAATGGTTCTGCACGGAATAGAAGAGGTTTTCTCTTGACAGGCTACCGTATCTAAAGACAGTGGGTCATCGACGCCTTCAGGTAAATACCTAGGCACATTTAACGATAGAAGAGGAAAATCTTAAATTATAACTAGATACTGTTTCTAGTCTTTAAGAACATGTCAAGTTTTATCTTAATGGAAATCACTTTGACTAGTTTAGCCAGCAGTAAATTCCATCATTTGACTACTTTTAATGAGTAGGTGTGCTTACTTTTTATTTTGCAACGTTTCATCTCCGGTTTCTGGGTGTTACTCCTAAGATATGTGTTGAAACTGAGATTAAGTTGGTATTTAAGGGAATGCCCAGAAATGTTGAGGATTCTGTAAGTCATTAGAAGGTCACTTTCAAGATGCCTGTGCGCTTGTGAACAGAGGTTCGGTGAGTCGAGGCGCTATTCCTAAAGATTGAAGTATAGTCCTCGAACGAATTTCGTGGCTGTGGTGTTTGAATTAACTAATGATTCTTTTGTACTTGTTGAATGCTCGATTTCGAATTCTAAATACAATACATTCGTTTGTGCCTGTGTCTTCTTAGTTCAATTGCGTTAATCCTGGAATTCCTAATTCATACGATAATTCGAATACTATATTGGCGTCGCGATGGAGCCTGCAATGGAAAAGTTAGATATTCATTCAACTTCAGAAGCTTTTGAAGATTACTTTGAAAGGTTCGAAATCTGGGCTATGACCAAGGAAGATGATGAGGATGTTAATATTGTGGCACACTTCCTCACATTCATTGGAAAAGAAGCATACAGCTTATTAAAAACTCTGGCTATGCCGGAAAAACCCATTTCGCTTTCTTATACAGCTCTCAAGGATCTACTGCTAGACTATGCTCAGTATACAAATTTCAAATGTCGTAAAGGAGGAAGATTTCGTAAAATGATTCATGAGGATATAAAAAAGTCCACTACATTACTACGTCATCTCAACCTAGTGCATACTCAAGGTTATGCAGACAATTCATTGAATTTGGATAGAGTTCACGAGGATGGGGACAAGTTTCGTCAGTGTTTGTCCTGTTGCAAGTTCCACTCTTCTAATTCATGTAAATTTCATAATTCTAAATGCTTCAAATGTCGTGATATTGGACAAGTTAAGTCAGTTTGTAATGCTAATGTTCATCTTACTGCAATTAATATTAAGTCTTGTAATTCTGATTCTACTGAGTCGAGTATTCATGATGATCATTTACCTTTATCAACGATTTCAAAAGACAGTGCAGAGTCATATGGCAGTTCAGAGTTAAATGAAATCCAGAATTCTTGTGAGACAACATTTCCTAATCAACCGATTTATCAGAATTCTCATGCTATTGTACCAAATATGACTTTTCCTAATGATTCACATATTTCTAATGAAATTACTTGCAATTCTGAGGAAAATATGTTAAATGAACCTAATCATGATCGAAAACCTGATGTGGTTTGGATAGGTGCTGATTTTTCTAACGATCCTACGCTCTGCAATGACAGTCCTGATGAATTTCATGAGAATATTTCAGAAGAATCGAATCCTGATGTCATATCATATATTACCTATCCTCATGATGTATCTGATCTTCGTGAAAAACCTGCCCAATGCGAAGCACGAGTACTAAGTGACCTCGAGTTTTATTATATTTCGGATGATTTCATATCAACTGCTGTTTACTCTTATCACAAAAACAGTTCTAATGTTTACTCTAAACAATGTGAGATATATGTTTTAAATGAAGCCACATTATTCATAACTTGGGAGTATAAAGATCCAACATTATTTCGTGGGGGGGATAGTGTTGAAAAATCTATGGTTCGAATTCTACTTACTTACTTACTTACGCCTGTTACTCCTCGTGAAGGAGCATAGGCCGCTCACCAGCATTCTCCATCCAACCCTGTCCTGGGCAATCCTTTCCAGCTCCTTCCAGTTGTAATTCATCCTTTTCATATCTGCTTCTATTATCCGACGTAATGTGTTCTTTGGCCTTCCTCTTTTCCGCTTCCCTTCAGGATTCCAAGTTAGGGCTTGTCTCGTGATGCAGTTTGACGATTTGCGTAATGTATGTCCTATCCATTTCCATCGTCTTTTCATAATTTCCTCTTCAGCTGGAAGTTGGTTTGTTCTCTCCCACAGAAGGCTATTGCTGATGGTATCTGGCCGATGGATGTTGAGTATCTTGCGTAGACAACTATTTATAAATACTTGTACTTTCTTGATGGTGGTTGTTGTAGTTCTCCAAGTTTCAGCTCCATACAGTAGAACTGCCTTGACATTCGTATTGAAGATCCTCACTTTGATATTGGTTGAAAGTTGTTTTGAATTCCATATGTTCTTCAATTGTAGGAATGCGGCCCTTGCTTTGCCAATCCTCGCCTTTACGTCTGCATCTGAACCTCCTTGTCCATCGACGATGCTTCCCAGGTATGTGAAGGATTCTACATCTTCCAGAGTTTCGCCATCAAGAGTGATTGGATTGCTGTTTTCCGCTTTGAATTTGAGGACCTTCGTTTTCCCTTTGTGTATACTGAGGCCTACTGATGCAGAGACTGCTGCTACACTGGCTGTCTTCATCTGCATCTGTTCGTGTGTACGTGATATAAGAGCTAGGTCATCTGCGAAGTCCAGATCGTCTAATTGGTTCTGAGCTGTCCATTGTATTCCGTGTTTTCCTTCAGATGTCGAGGTCTTCATAATCCAGTCGACCACCAGAAGAAAGAGAAACGGAGAGAGTAAACAGCCGTGTCTGACCCTGGTCCTTACTTGGAATGCATCTGTCAGCTGTCCTCCATGCACGACCTTGCACTGTAGTCCGTCGTATGAGTTCCGGATAATATTGACAATCTTCTCAGGAACTCCGTAGTGTCGAAGAAGTTTCCATAATGTCCTCCTATCTACACTGTCGAATGCCTTTTCATAATCAATGAAGTTGATGTATAATGATGAGTTCCACTCAACTGATTGTTCGACGATGATCCGTAGTGTTGCAATTTGGTCTGTTCACGATCGATCCTTACGGAATCCAGCTTGTTGATCTCGAAGTTGGGCGTCTACTGCATCCTTCATCCAGTTCAGCAACACTCTGTTGAAGACTTTCCCTGGTATTGACAGTAGTGTTATGCCTCTGTAGTTTTCACATTTGCTCAGATCTCCTTTCTTTGGAATCTTGACGAGGTGCCCTTCTTTCCAGTCCATTGGCACTTGTTCCTCCTCCCAAATCTTTTTGAATAGAGGGTAAAGCATGCTTGTGGTTACTTCGACGTCTGATTTCAGTGCTTCAGCTGGTATGTTGTCGGGTCCTGCTGCTTTCCCGTTCTTGATTTGTCTGACGGCCGCTCTAATTTCTTCCGTCGTTGGTGGGTTGACATCTATAGGAAGATCTGTGTGTGCTGCTTCGATGTTCGGTGGATTCATTGGAGCCGGCCTATTCAGGAGTTCCTCAAACTATTCTACCCATCTGTTCCGCTGTTGTTGAATTTCAGTGATTGGCTTGCCTTCCTTGTCTTTGACCGGCCTCTCTGGTTTATTGTATTTCCCTGCTAGTTTCTTCGTTGTATCGTAAAGTTGTCTCATATTTCCTTCTCTAGCAGCTTTTTCTGCCGTCGTTGCTAATTCTTCCACGTATTTCTTCTTGTCAGTTCTAATGCTCCTCTTCACTTGCTTGTTTGCTTCTATGTATTCAGCTTGTGCTTGGACTTTCTCTGCTCGTGTTCGGCTGTTGTTTATTGCTGCCCTCTTGTTCTTCCTTTCTTTGATGTTGTCCAGTGTTTCTGTAGAGATCCATTCCTTATGATGGTATTTCTTTAGACCGAGAACCTCTTGACACGTTGAAGTTAATGCTTCCTTGATGCTTTTCCAGTTGTCCTCCATAGTAGTTTCTTCTTTCAGTAGATCTTGTAAGGCTTGGAACCTGTTGTTGAGAGCTATCTTGAATTCATTGGGTTTGACAGTATCTCGAAGGAAGGCTGTATTGAACCTTTGTATTGCTGTTTGTCCACTTGTCCAGTTCTTCTTTAGCTTCAGTTTCAAATTGGCTACAACTAGGTGGTGATCTGAAGCTACGTCAGCTCCTCTCCTGGTTCTCACATCTTCCATTGTCCTTCGGAATTTTTTGTTAATGCAAATATGATCTATTTGGTTCTCTGTAGTGTGGTCCGGTGAGATCCATGTAGCCTTGTGTATACGCTTGTGTGGAAATATTGTGCCTCCTATGACCAATTTGTTGAATGCACATAGATTTGCAAATCTTTCTCCATTTTCGTTTCTCTGTCCCAGTCCATGTCGTCCCATAATATCTTCATATCCGGTGTTGTCTATTCCGACTTTGGCGTTTAGATCTCCCATTAGAATAGTGAGGTCCTTTCTTGGGCATTTCTCAATGACTGACTGCAGCCGCTCGTAGAACCGATCTTTAATGTCGTCGTTGCTATCATTGGTGGGTGCATAACATTGGATAATATTCATTAAGACCCCCTCCTTCTTTGTTTTGAATGATGCTTTGATGATTCTGGATCCGTGGGATTCCCATCCTACAAGTGCATTTCGTGCTACTTTGGACAGCATTAGAGCAACTCCCTGAGTGTGTGGAGCATTTTCCTCTTCGTGACCGGAGTATAGCAGCATCTCTCCCGTAGCTAGTCTTTTCTGTCCAGCTTGGGTCCAGTGAGTTTCGCTGATCCCCAGTACTGCTAAGTTGTATCTCCTCATTTCCATTGATATTTGACTGGTCTTCCCGGTTTCCCACATTGTTCGGACGTTCCATGTACCTATAAAAATTTTTGCTCTGGTTGTTAGAAGGGGCATCGGCCTCGTGGCTTCCGAAGGAACTCGGCTTTCACCATGAAGCGTCATAATTCTTCTAAATGAAGACCTTCTAACTCTCAGGGCAGAGTTAAAATGGTTTGAATTATTTTTTCTGGTAAGCGTTTTTTTAGCGAGTTAGTTTTCTACGGGATGGGGACGCTAACCCCATGCCCAACCCTCCTCCTTTACCCGGGCTTGGGACCGGCAGTAACTCTAGAAGAGCTACAGGCGGAGTTGGTTCGAATTCTAGATATTAATGATTTCATTACAAAACCGACATGCTGGTTGTATACAATTCCAGGTGAGTCTGTTCCGATTTCGTTTGTTAATTCCAATACTAATGAGCACTTTCTAGATACTACAAAGTTTTTATCTTATACAATGTCGGACAGACTCAGGATGAACTTAACAAGAAGACGTACAACCGATTACAAACACTTATACTTCTATTTAAGCTGTGGCGGATGTGGTGTTTGAATTAACTAATGATTCTTTTGTACTTGTTGAATGCTCGATTTCGAATTCTAAATACAATACATTCGTTTGTGCCTGTGTCTTCTTAATTCAATTGCGTTAATCCTGGAATTCCTAATTCATACGATAATTCGAATACTATAGTGGCCCACCGTTGATTGTGTTCTAATGTATCCTTGTCCTTTAGGAGTGAAGGAGGAAATACTATGTTTCAATACTCTAAATATGATCGAATAAAACTGTTGAAGATTGGGTGGAAACTACTACCGTCAAACTGGCCAGCTATGAGCTTCAACGTTTCCAGCGTAAGATCCTCCAAGAAGGCGTTTTTGTCTCAATTATCATAAAACACCGGGTCATAGGGTACCAACACTCCTAGATCTTCTTTAACTTGGGATAACTCTAGACGGGATCACCTAAGTTGTACTCATAGTCTGCAACATGTTTCAGATGGACTAGCCAAGGATAAAGCTTCATCTCTCAGTACGGTAAAACGAATCACATCCGAGTCAAGTGGAAGTATCCTTATTTCGATGCTGCACATTTTGATACACAAAATCACCACTCGTGATCACTTCTGAGGGTCCGTTTGAGTCAAAAAGACGCTTTCGTCAATTAGGTTCGTACGTGATTGTTGAACTGCCTGAAAATAGTGCTCTTCCAAAGTCAAACGGCATTAGCGCAATGCCTAGCAGGTCCATCAGGACCGAACAACTCGGATACTCTTATTCTGACTTGTCCAAGAGGGGCTGCATGACAGAATAAGCTTTTAATAGAAATAATAATATATGCTCGATCAACAATATGTTACACGAATCATGCCAGTTTACATGCAAGATCAAATTGTTACAAACGCTACATGTTTTACTTTATTAATTTACTGAAGTAGGTCGATATCTTACAAGGCACATATGTTATAGAAACGGGAGACACATTTTTGTATATTGGAATATTAATCTTAGTAAGACTTCACTGTTCAATATAAGAGTTGGCACGCTTTGTGGAGGCTGCATTGCGACGAACAATTGGCCGAGAATAAATGTAAGCAAAGTTCGGAGCTGCTTACGACAAGTGAAATGCAGCTAATGCATAACCAGTTAGCCGAAAACGTCAAATATGACGTAATATTTTGTGCTAATTGATAGTGTTCCGGATAAATCTCAGAGATATTAATGATGGTGCAGGCCAAAGTCATATGTTCCACATGTATTCGGTGGTATTCAAGGACGATGCTAAAAAGAGAGAGAAGAATGGGGGTGAAAAGCAGAACAAACAATGTTTATGACAAGTAGAGTTTATTAATTTGTGATTAAATAGGACATGACCACCTTGATACATTCTGTTTTATTAAATGAATTCTCAAGCAAACAAATTTCATCAAGTTAAGGAAAGCAAACCAGAGTATGAGACTGAACGGACAAAGGGTTTTATAAAAAAGACTGATCAGAAGGAGCTCAAAGTTTAGGATTACATGTATTTTCAAAATTTAGTGGGGAAAACACAGTATGGCTTCTCTTCGCTGAAATTATTCCAACCCGTTTTTAGTATAACCGTTGTAGAGTTATGACCGAATTTCTCTTCGGCATAATTGTCTAGTTCCGCTTGCAATAGGATTTCTTGGTAGGAAGAGAAGTTAATTCAAGGTTGTAGGCATGAAGTAACGAGGTATTTGGCATAAAAAGAAAAGTGTCAATACCATTGGCTTGTGACATCTCCCTAGACCATAAGCAGCCCTAATTTACGGTTTCCCGCCCTTCAGACACTGGTGGATTTAGTTCATCTCCCCACCATCATGTTTGCTGATCAGTAACGTTATCCTCAAAACCTTTGTGATATTAGGCTCTCTTGCGTTTGTAATATGTATAAATATTGCTTCGATCTAAGCTCCACGAAACACACCCTGTTGGAATACACTGGTTCTACCAGTTCAATTACTCAAGCAAGCCAGAATAACCAAAGCCTCGGTATTGTAGGTTAGATATCCATTTGATATATCATACTTTTTAAATTGGAGACAAATTTACTGATCATTTTTATCTGATACTGAAGCCTGTCTTCAATTATCACCGTGCATTGGTTCTCTACTTTTAGGAACGGCCTATATTTGCTGCTTTCACTTGTTCGTTCATAGTCTTCCCAGCAGTGCCGTTTGTGTCTTAGCATTCAAAGATTGCGATCCTTTATGGTTGTACGTTGCTTGAAATTTCTGTGGATCGTTCGCGATACAAACCGTTTTGTAGCAGATCAAAATCGTGTGCAGTAAGAGATACCAATGAGTGTCCACATCAAGCTGAGGGGAGCCAGAATTCAGTGGTTGCCGATTTGGTATTCTTAGTTCGTAAATATCCAGGCTAGGAGCGACGGCGTCGAATTATTTCTCCAGCGAGTTACTAAATTTACGCTTTCGAATAATCCCATATCTTCAATGAGACTAAAGAACCGAGATTCAGTAGAGTCGTCACTTCCAATATGTGTGTTTACCGAAGTCGGCTGTAGTAAGACTGAAGTCTCTTAGACTCAAGATATGAGTGTAAACGAGACGAATAGCGCGAGGTAATTCCTCCATCATGTAATTGACGTATTCGGTGTCACTAATGTGCTTCCTGCAGATGACTACAACTGGACAACTTGAGGGGTCGGAGAACCGTGCAGAGCACTATACGGATCCACCAAGATTGACAAACTCTGGAGTGTTCACTTAATGTGCTACCTAGCAGGACCGTAGATACAGGGACTCACGCATCCTTATTCCTGTTTTTCCGTCGTTGTGAAACAAAGACATCCCGAGCATTTCAAGCTCCCGGTCCTTAAATTGAGAAAGTATGTATGTTTCAGATAACCCTGCTAGATAATTGTTATTAACGTTATTTATTTCATGCAACTCATCCATTTTGTTAGGTTAACTCGTAGGATTAGCAAATAGGCAATTACTACTTTCAGTTTGAAAGGCGCTAGTTTCCTCGTCCTGTTTGTCTGAATGAGCCTCATGTGAAAAAACAGGCAGCCCACCTACACAGGGCTTTGCGCGTTGATAACTCCTGTCCCTTCTACATTTTCTTCCTTCAGCTTGACAGCACACAAGTGAAATAGTCGATTCCAATTTGATTTTGTGCTTGATTCTCACACCATGTGGCCTGTTTGTACGCATGTGGAATCGAGTTGGTGACCGACGTCTGTTGGCATGAAATGCTCCGAGTGGCAGCTGCACTTTTAGACTACATGAGGCTAATTCCCATTAGCCATTGTATGGAATTCCTGTCCTTCAGTATTTTCGACAGTGACGTTCGGTCTTGTTTAACCCTGTTAACGGGGTTCCAGTGGCCTACAGTAGACTTTTGGGTAACACAGGTGGTTTCAGGTAGCGTGTGCTAAGGGACATATGCTTACTAGAGATTCTTCGATCGTCGTTGTTTTGGCGGTGCTCAATTTCAACATATTACCACTTGTACGGATCGTTGTTCGATCAATACTAGTGTTATCGAAGATCATCTTTATATCATTGCGAGTCTTTGTTAATCTGTTTCGGGAACACTTTTTCTCATGGTTACAAAAGATTTTTCCACAGACCTTCTAGGAGAACGATAATATTTCCCGGCAAATCTTCAGCATTCAAACTGCATGTGCCACATGCCCATCTGTGATATGAATTACTAAGTCTCTTGTAAGCAGTTGCTATAAGATCTTCGAATATTTCGTGAAACCAGCCTTAGCACTTGTGACATTGGGTACCAAAGGTGACAGAAAAACAACACCCAGATCGCCTACAAATATTCTTAGTGATTATAGTGAATGATAAGTTGTTAGATATATCCTAACAAACTTTTATGACTGCGAAACGTAAAACAGTACACTGGAATGGATAAAATAGACAAAATGGACGATACAAATGGTTAGGATATACTAAAACTAGCCTTGACGTGGAAAATTATAAAGACCCTATAGTATGCTAAGGTGAAAATAAAGTTAACTAATAAATCGAATAAAAGTCAAAAGGAGGGTAATCTACCAAATGTTTAGATCAGGACTTGATCAAAAATTGTACTTTTATTGTGTAAGAACACAGCAAAAGTCTGAGAAATGCAAATCATGTTAGGACCAAACTTCCTGTTTATATAGCGCACGTTTGTCAATTTATATATATGAGGCCCTTACATTCATTGGTAAAATCAAACGGCTATTGTTTTTGATAACACAACATCAGAATAAAACAAATTGTTAATTGAAACAAGAAGTTAATAGTATGACGTTTCAAATATGCATATCATAGAAATTCATGATCACAAGGCTGCAAAATCCAAAGTTCCCATGAATATAAATAAACATGGACCGCACATGGCAAGCTACAAACCAATGTGCAGAATATATATATATATATATATATATATATATATATATATATATAGCAGCTAAAACCACAAAAGCATTCAAGATCTTGTAGCATTTCGGAGCTTGTAAACAATGTATTAGCAATAATTGCAAATAAGC